TCTGGACGATATTATCGAAGAATTGAAAGAATCCGTTATATACCCTCTTACGATGCCTCATTTATACTCGCATTCATCCCCTCTTTTATCTGCACCTTCAGGTGTATTATTATATGGTCCTCCAGGGTGCGGCAAAACTATGTTGGCAAAGGCTCTGGCGCATGAAAGTGGAGCTTGTTTTATCAATTTGCATATTTCGACTCTGACAGAGAAGTGGTATGGCGATTCAAATAAGCTGGTCCGCGCAGTATTTTCTTTGGCCAGAAAGTTGCAACCCAGTATCGTGTTCATCGATGAGATAGATGCAGTATTGGGACAAAGACGAAGTGGTGAACATGAAGCCAGTGGTATGGTCAAAGCAGAGTGAGTAAAATCTTGCCAATCTTTCATAATTCTAGCTAACGATTCTAGGTTTATGACACTCTGGGATGGTCTCACTTCATCGAATAAAAGCGGATTGCCAGCTAGAATCATGATCCTTGGTGCTACAAATCGAATTCAAGATATTGACGAGGCAATCTTACGAAGAATGCCCAAGAAATTCCCTGTCTCATTACCTTCGAACTCGCAAAGAAGGCGTATATTGAATTTGATTCTCAAAGATACAAAAACCGACCCGAATAACTTCGATATTGAATATCTTACAAGAGTTATGGCTGGTATGTCAGGAAGTGATATCAAGGAAGCATGTAGAGATGCAGCTATGGTTCCAGTTCGAGAATTCATCAGAGAACAGAGGGAAAGAGGTATATCCATGAGCGGGGTCGACCATTCGAATGTTCGAGGTGTACGGACAGAGGATTTTTTCGGTAGAAAAGGGGGCGGACAGATCATTAAAGACAATCATGCACGACACATAGCTGCAGAAACTACATCAACAACAAGAGGCACGACTTCTAGTGATGGATATGAAGATGTTGAAGAGAGCGTTGCTGAATCAATGGATTAACGAATTTATCACGTATATCTGGTCATCTAAGTACAATCTCGTTGTAATATACTAGGTAGCTATGCACGGCGTTTGGAGGGTTGTAATGATATAGAAACAAAGAAAGGAAAACTTCTTTTCTTTTCTCTTCATGATTCAATGAAACTAACTTATACTTCATGATGATTTAAATTACCAAGCTTCACCAATTCTTACCTTTACGGATTAACATCATCCACCTTTTGGGCCGCATCGAAATGATACTACTGTAATTCTTCACTTCGCTCGTTTACCTCCTATTCATCATTATTATTGTTATACCCCTCTCTATGTGAATGCTTACCATCATCCCTATCTTGAGGCGGATTGTGATAAGTGAGCACGTCATTTTTAGCGTCAAACAACCCCACATCTTCAGAGTCAAAGTCCGATTCACGGCGCTACGGAATCTTGCCTACAAAGTTATATCTGGGGAACCAAATTTCTGAGTCTTACAAACAAAACCGATACTTTCTTACATACTTTTATCGACCATAACCATTTGTTCAAATTACAAGAGTTTGATATATTATACCAGTCTTCAATCTCAAGTCCAAGTTCGATTTATCATTTATCATCCTCTTGAATCATTGCTGCTTCAATTGAAATTTCCCCGCTTCTACAATCTCACACGACCTTGAAACACAATACCAACATGTCTTCACCATCAGGCTCCTCACAAGCATCTGGAGCTGGCAAAGCCAATGGTGCCCTCAAGAAAGGATTCCCGCAAATTGACCTTGATGGCCACAACCTTCCTCCCTCGCCTGCACCATCCAGTCCTCACAATGGCAGAAGATATGCCTTGGCCACCGAATTAGTCTACACCGAGACTAAGGATCAATATGGAGCTTCAAGCATGCCGATATATCAATCTGCCACATTCAAACAAAATCTGGCAGGTGGTGGATCAGAATATGATTATACACGTTCCGGAAATCCTACAAGAACACATCTGGAACGACATCTCGCGAAGATCATGAACGCTAACCGTGCGCTGGTCGTTGGTTCTGGCATGGGAGCATTAGATGTTATTACACGAGTTTTACGACCCGGAGACGAAGTTATCACAGGAGACGATCTATACGGAGGTACCAATCGATTGTTGACATACTTGGCTGCGAATACTGGAATAATTGTACACCATGTTGATACGACTACACCTGATAAAGTCAAAGCAGTCTTGGGTCCTAAAACGGCTATGGTTTTGCTCGAGACACCAACCAATCCCTTGATAAAGATTGTCGATCTTGCGACAATTGCAAGGACAGCACACGAGTTGAATGAGAAAGCTCTAGTTGTCGTTGACAATACCATGCTTTCTCCTATGCTGTGCAATCCCTTGGATCTCGGCGCAGATATAGTCTATGAGTCAGGCACAAAATATCTCTCTGGGCATCACGATATCATGGCTGGTGTTCTAGCTTTCAATGACCCCGCCATTGGAGACAAGATGTACTTCACAATTAATTCTACTGGTTGCGGACTCTCACCAAACGATTCATTCTTACTCATGAGGGGAATAAAGACTTTGGCAATCCGTATGGAACGACAACAAACAAACGCCCAAGCGATTGCTGAATTTCTTGAAACACATGGTTTCCGTGTAAGGTATCCTGGCTTGAAATCCCATCCTCAATATGATCTTCACTGGTCCATGGCTCGTGGAGCTGGAGCTGTATTATCTTTCGAAACAGGCGATGTTACTCTTTCTGAGAGAATTGTTGAAGCAGCAAAGTTATGGGGTATTAGTGTCAGTTTTGGTTGTGTCAACAGTCTGATCAGCATGCCTTGCCAAATGAGTCATGCTAGTATTGATGCGAAGACCAGAAAGGAAAGACAGATGCCAGAAGATATCATTAGATTGTGTGTAGGAATTGAGGACGTGAATGATTTAATTGATGATTTGAGCCGCGCTGTAAGTACACGTCGATAAGGATCCACTTCATAATGCTAACTCTACATAGCTTGTTCAAGCAGGTGCTGTGAAGGTAACTCTTGATGGATTTCATGCTGTAGATACAGCTCAAGCTATTGCCGAGGTACCAATAGCCGAATCGGATGCTGCAGCAGCTCCATTGTAACGAATGGTTTAATGTACATTGCCAAGGCGTTCACGGAGTTGTGGGATGATTTTGATACACAACTAGCAAATGTTTTGAGGTTGCCAAAATGAAAAGGAGCTAGATATTTAGATACACCGCCATAAATGAGGAGTAATTGATCAATCAGATCAGTGTCTTGTGTAACTTTGAGACAAGCGCCTCGAGCTTCAATAAAAAGCAATTAGTGATTCACAAAGCATGGTCCTGATATCGGGACTTTACTGTGATGCAAGGTGGAGGTGGCTCGTTGTGTATCAATACGCCACAAAACAGTAATTTCCCAGCTGGAATGTTTCCGACCCTTCAACAATTGATTTCTATTTAAGATCTCACATCCACATGCTTTCTCACCGAGTTTGGCTTTGTTAATGAAGGAAAGTCTCGTGTTAGAGTCGAGGACTCAATGTTGTTCGTATCCGGCTACGAAGAGCATCCTCTTCAATGTCATATTGCTTTTATGTACGACTGCTATGGCAAAATTAAGCTTTTTAGCTGTGCTTCTACATGTCATCCAAGTTGATGCAATTCCTTGGGAAGCAGCTCCTTCAACATCGATCGCAAGTCGGACTACGTCTTGGCTACCGGTTCAAACACCAAGCCCTTCTTTGATTACAGCGTCGTTTTCCAGCGCCAATCATACATACGAGTCGCCAAATATTTGTGGATGGGTAGATCACAACCCTGGTTTGTACTGAATACTCATCAATCTTGTACAACGATGTTAATCAAAATTAGATAATTCATATACATGTGGGGGTTCCGCAACCTGCTTTTGGAATTCTTCTCTTAAATTAGTGGGATGTGGACATACGAAGTCGATAGATTATTTCACCTCTTGCATTCCCTACAAGGCACTTAGGTATTGTGATAGCTCTTGCTTTGCGAATCCGAGTATTGTTCGTTGGTATGTTTTGCTACAATTCTTTTCGGACCTATTCTGACACTTTGTAAAGTGGCTCCGATATTCCCTACTGCGCAACTCCTCTTGTCGGGCCCGAAGGAAACTATTCAATCCTTGCATGCCAAGGACATAAACCATATGGAAGATCCGATATCAACTTGGTGTACAAAGGACAAACAACAGTCGGTCACCTTCTCAGATATCTTGGTGCAGACGGTATCATCACATATGCTACGCATACACCGATAATGCCATCATTGACCGCACCAAGCACGGGAAATCGTTCATCCTTTGGACTCGACGGCGTACCAGTACAAGTCTCAAGCACATTCTACCAAAACCCATCATCCAATTGCCATTCTAGACTCTATCATGATAGAATCAGTGATATGAGTGCCGTCCCCGAAGCAGCTGTCGTGGCAGGGACTATTGTAGGGAGTCTGGTGGTTATATGTGCAGTATCTGGCTTGATTTTGTTTATTGTTTATAGATATAGGAGACGGATGCCGACTGCTAATATGCAGGCGGATCTTGATATGATGCCGCTGGAAGAATTGGTGGGGAGGAAAACTAGTAATAGCCGCTTGTGTGGGCCGGCACCTTGTGGATCGACACAACCACGAAGGTTCTAGCTGGTGTAATGCTTTATCGGTCATTATATGAGATCTTACAGTGTTTTAGGAAATCATAACTCCACATAGATTTAAAGTCGTGCTACTCAAAATATTTAATGACCTATAGATGGCTCAATGGACTGTTAAAGGCTACTGAAATTACTGAGTCATTGACACTGAGAGGCCAAGCTAATCGAGTGAAATCTTTGATGAGCAAAGCCTACTCTCTCATATATACTACCAGATGTGAGCGAAGATGATTTTTCGTTCCATCGTAATCAACAAAAAAGTCCAAAGGAATGTTCAGAAAACGTTTCGAGGCCATGTTCCAGAAGAAACGTAATCTCGCGGTAGACAACCACAAAATCCCAATACTCTTGGCTAAACACTCTCTCTTACATCTGAGTTTCCTGTCAACCATGATTCTTGATCAGATCAGCACACTTTTCTGCCACCATTGTAGCTGGCGCTTGTAGTGATGCGAAATAATCTGTGGGAATATGCTAGTATCACAAACTCTCAAACTTTTCACACCATGGACCTCCAGCTGATCGTCCGCCACTCCAGGAGATTCAGCATCATCCACAGGAGCCATCCTACAGCTAGAAGAATAGTGATATATCGTCCTGATCCTACGCCTTATAAATTTATCGATTTCCTCATCATTGTTATTCGTCGCATCTTTGGCCTGTTTATCTTCCGGGAAAGTAATGTTCTCTTGTAGCGGGAATCCAGAAGCCTTCATAGTCTCTGCAATTTTCAAGGAAAGTCGCACAGAGGCTCGGGCAACGACATAGTCTTCAGGATTTGATAGAATGCCAAAATCAACTTTCGGTCTATGGTGTGGGTCTGAAGACCCAAGACGAACGGTCCCTCGAGATTTTGGTTTCGCGAGAGTGGCCAAGATGGAGAACATACCCATTTTGGAAAATAAACGTTGGTGCTCCTCTAAATCATCCATGGCGGTGACGGCGAGAGGCATAAGCTCAATATCTGGAATCAAATCTTGAATCTGACTACTTGCTGTGGCAAGCTTTTTATTGTCAATTCCGGTATAGTCTTGGTCGAGTATTCTAGATTGAACGAATAGAGTTATATTGTTTATGGGCAAGCTGAGAATGCCGGAACGGAAAACTATGTGTTTGAAGGATTCAAGTACGCCTAGCATTGGATGGATCGTTAGTCTAGTGAGTGATTCTTTGACTGGAACCTTCCATGCAATTGGAATACCGTGATGATCGCTCTATCATAAGGTCAGCATGATATTCTCCATGAGTCATAAAATTGGAGAATTGACTGCGTACCAATCCGGATCCAACGCCTGGTAGGTCTTTGATAACACTGATTCCATGTTCTTCTAGATGTTTCCGGGGACCGATTACACTGTTGAATTTCATTGTCAGCTTGCCTGACCGTTTGACGAGTATTTGAAATCGAGAAATGGTGGTATACTTCAACATTAAGACTTGGGGTGTCCCTAGAGTGCCCGAGCAAACGATGACTTCTTTCTTGACTTTAGCCGAATATATCTTGTCAGATTTCGGATTAGAAAGTTTGAAGAAGACTCTATCGGGACGCAGAACTCTGTCCTCTTTTCAGAAGGCACTTCGTGATAAAACCGTGTTAGTGCAGAGTGTCAAATGCTCCTCTCTTTTCAAGACTATTTCTCGAGGAAGAAAGGTGTCGAAGGTAGATACTCTCTGTCGCTGCTCATTCACTGTAAAGAACACTGTTGGGAGCCCATCGACCATGACGTCAGGTGTGTTTGGGTCGTCAATTTGGACAAAGCCTAGGGCTTTAGCAGCGTTTGAAAAGCTGGGAAAAGTAAGCCTTGGCGACGCACGCAAACGAGACTTAGATATTGTAGATACTGGAATGTACTTACACTCGATATGCTGCGAACCTCCAAGTATGAAAAGGAAATTTCTGGGTAATCCATGGGCCTACACCGGGATCAGCGCCTAAAATTATGCCAGTAAGTATTGGCTAGAACTACACACCAGAAGTCCCACAATATTCCGACTTATGTGAGCCCACGACAGTCTCACTTTTAATAAAATAGGGCAAGAGCTTGCCATAAGTCCAATCCGGATGACCAAGCTGTGCCCAAGAATCATAGTCTGCAGCAGTACCACGTGTGTACACCATACTATTGATTCTAGAGCCTCCGCCCATAACTTCTCCGCAAAAATGCCAAGCTTCGGCGATCATCAAAATACTTCATAGGTTCGCATTCACAACTCGAAGCACCACCATCAGAGCGTAAGATGTTTGATGATACAATGGGTATGCGGGACATGAAGTTATCGCTGGCGGGCCCGCGCTCAAGAAGCAGGACAGCACATTTAGATCTTCACTCAATCGTGAAGTTAAGACACAAGCAGCTGTACCGCCTTTTGGTTTGGAGATGTTTGTCAGCTAGGAGTCAGGAAATTGTGATATGGAGAGATAGATTGTAAGTGAACAAGTGGAAAGACCTCCAATCGCGATATAGTCGTAGGCCTGACCATCGGCATATTCGGCGTGACGCTCGGGGTAATTTTTACCAAATGGCCACCACATAGTGAATTCTTCCGAGGACTTAGAAAGGATGATTCAAAGAAACAGTCTCAGTTCATAAATTTAACTCTGTTCAGGTGATTGACGTTTCTCGCGTCTAAAAAATCAAGTTAAAAAGAAACTGTAAACCAGTCTACGAAAAATAAAGCTTGGTTCTTGTTGTGGTTGTATTTGCGGAGAAATAGGGTGGATCAAAAATGGAGTCTTGATAAGTTTTGTTACTGTGCCGCATTCTGCTTACCCTAATTTCTCACGATATAACAACACATTACCAACAAACGCCGCGCTCTTACATTAGTGTATGAAATTCAAATCAATTTCATCGATTTCATCTGTCGGGGAGGATAGAGCATGTGCTTCGCCTGTCCCTTTATCCACCCTAGTAGAGACACCAAATCGCGCAGTCCAAAATATATCATTTCATCATATCCTACTACCTAGCAAGCACGTTGACTCTCGAGTAGGGAGAAATTGCATTGTTCGCGTGCGGCTTACAGAAATATACCGAAAACCCTCGACACGATGAGTTTAGAAGAGGCAGATATTCAATACTATGAAGAGATGTCTAATTTTGACTGGAGAAGCCATACCTTATAACCAAGCTGAGATCTCCAGCGTACTATCTTTGATCAACCAGGTTTCAAGGAAAAAGTAGCATTTTCAGTGGTTATTTACACGAAGACTACCTTGATGAGAAGAGCGACAAGTTTAAAATAGAGATCCGGAGTGAGTGGGGAATAAAAAGTTTCTTTCACTGTGACATTACTTCAGTCATCAAGTTGCCAATCGTGTAGATGAACACATGGGATCTGCTGCGGCTAGCTTTTGGAAATTGCTCAGAAAACCTATGTATGAGTTTACTGGCTAGAATTATTATAAATGGTATCAAGCAGAGAATTTGATTGTAAAGTTGTCATCCTGGTGTTTGGCATATAGCAAGTTGAGGAATCAGGAAAGTTTCATTCTCACCTGTTGTCGGTACAATTGCTTCTTCTATTCATTGTTACTGCCACCAAAATCTTTGTTGTGAATATCAATTTTAGTATTGTATTGACGCTAGTGGGTAAGATATTTGGAGATTCAACTACTTGCAAGATCAAGGATTTTCGAGAGAGAAATGGTGGCATAAGACCACTTCGGCGCAATCTGATATTCAACTACACTTAATTTTAAATTATGGGGGTTATTGACATGGCTTTATGGAAGTAAACGCCGCCTAACTCTTCTTGGCAGTGAGATTTACTTAGGTTTTTCTGGAAAGATTTTCTCGATTAATCTCCATATTCAGCAAATTTCGGGTGTGAAGCGCTTTCGCAATATAAAAGACACGATCAATTAAATCCGGATGATAGCATCGCTTTTCAACAGTGACCACTATACGGACACCCTAGGCAGTCAGAAGTTCTTCAAGTGAGCAACAAGAATCTTTGAAAATATCGATGTGGACCAGGCGTTCACATAAACTGGTATTGCCATCTATCTATTTTTTATCTAGCTGTCGATTTAAATTTCATCTACATGCTTGTTGCTGTCATTTTTCTAACGATACACGCCGAATTTGACGAAAGGGAAATAACACTTTAACTGTAAATTCACAAGGCCAATTCCGACCCAATTTTGTCAGCCCCAAAATGACTCTTCCACCCTGGGTTCTCTCTAACAAATGCTTAGATCTCCGAGAGCTGAAAGTAAATGCCATCTAGATGTATATAAAGAGCTATCAACTGAACTCGATGTTGAGATCACATGCGAGTCTGTCTATAGAATGGGGGTTAATCGTGATAATCTGTATTCACTCAGGCTACTAGCGGTCCGGGGCGTACATATAAATACGCCAGGTCTGCGACTATAAGCTAGCAAATGAGGAGTGCGATGCGATTTTTTCTTTGATTTGGATGACTCTTGCACACTGTTGTCTTTCAAGTTTACGAGCGTTGCGCGGATTCGCAGCTTAAGGGACCGTAATTTTGTTTCCGTACCTTAATCGACATTGCTACAAAATACATATTCTACTTTCCGTTTTGGTAGTGACAGTAAAGATGTCAAGCTTAACAGTAATGGGATTATGGGATGTTTGTTGTTATGGTAGTATTTATTATCCAAGCGTCTCAGAACTCCTTTAAGTATTACTTGTTGTGTTAAACCTCTTTTGACCGAAATGAATATACACATCAGAAGTGATTGTGTGGGCGTTCTAGAATTTTTCAGCATGTATAAACTCTGTTGATGGTGTATTTAATTTTGAGCTGATGCAGACATAGTGTGAATTGTGCCAAAGGTAAAACACCCCGAGCGAATTCGAGTTGATGTAGAAGATAATTAGCAATCAATATCACGGTATTTGAGAAAGCTAGTGAGAGATTTAAGAATGATTACTGCAGTCCAGGAGAATTTATCCTATAATATACTTTGGACGATCTCACATTCAGATCAAGTGATGATTAGGTATTGTTTCGATATTTCTTGTATATTGGCGTTGTAGATTGGCTTGACATGATTCTGAAATTTATGAAGATTACGTAAGCCATAGTCGCGTAATTCAGGAGACACATGATACACCGATTTCTTGGTGTGCATTAATCTAGAAAGCATGAATCAATTAAAGTAGGTGCACGATGCAGATAGAATATTGAGGCGTTTGGTGCTTCCAAGGAGAGAGAATGCAAGATGGTGAATGGAAAATCTTCGCGAGCTATGAAATGTTTGAGATGTTCACACAACTATTTAGTAGGACGTAATGTGATTCTGTAATAGCATAAATGGTGGAAATCTTCTCGCTCTCTACCACGAAGTTCTCTTTGAGACATTAAAGTCATTTCCCATTTAATTTTTACTCGAGGCTTATTTCGAAGTTGTTAATTCTCTTCATATCGATCCAAATTTATTCGGGATCCAGCTGGAATCAGCAATATATTGAACATTGCCACGTGATACTCAATTCATGTCTGAAGTTTTCCCGTGGGTTTGCACGTTCTATCTTTTTGATAGTGATACGCGCAGTGATGGTTCCTCCGAGGCGTGGAAACAGACATCGGATGGCATATACAACTTCGGACGTTGGTCAGAAAGTCTGTTGCAAACTCCTCGTTCTTTGCGTTCATATCTACAAGACTAGATAAATTGGATTCTCTGTGATTGAAAAACTCGAGAGTCATTAGATCGAGCGCAAATACGCGAAGCTTGGAACCGTTCGGCAGTCTGCTGTAAATATCTAAAACATCCGGTGGGCCAAGCGGATACTCGGTTCTTATTCTATCCATCACTTGGTCCATAAGTTCAGGAGGACAGATCTTGTCAGCCAGAATATATCGACGGATACCAGAAGCAATTTCTGGTGGTAGTCTATTCGTGTAGACCCAATCTACCAATACGTCGAAAGCTTCAGTGTTATCTTCTTGGAGTACCGCACTATTCGTTATGCTTTCTGAAAATCCTTTACTGAGTATCTTATCGAAATAGGGTACGCGAGTACATAGAAGTGATTTGTGAACTCGGAACAACTTCAATTCTTCCCCAACGCGGATTTCTACCATTTGGATTTCCGCTTTCCTAGTTAAATTAGATTAGCAAGATTTTCTTACGCCACCAAGCGTATATACATTTCCACAATGAAGAGACACTGTGCTCACTTAAAGAACGACGTTCTGGTCCCCGACTTCTTTTTCTTCGAGGGATCCATTTCGTTTTTCTTCCTAGTTGCTTGGCCTTTCTAGCATTAGCACACTCTGAGTTTAAAGCGAGACTGGGTAATAAAATAGTACCTTCAAGTGATCGATGAAGAGTCCCGGGTAATTTTGGATACGAGAAGTTAAATAACATAACAACTTATCGATATACCTTCAAAGGATCTTTATATGTCTCAAGGTTCTTTGTCGAGTTTTAGAAAATTGGTCTAGAGAATATTCGAGATCTAAGTAGGTTGCACATGCGAGAATATCCGACTGTGAAACATGATTCCACAACAGGGTGCATGATGATACCTGAAAGAAATAGAAATCGGAAGATTGATGAACACTATTCTAGGAAATTGGTGTTTACACTTCAGATGGCATCGCTTCACGCGATAATGTGAAGGGAGCAAAATTAGATGAATAAGGCGTTTGTATATTCTTCTATCTATGATGAAGAGTGATGTCCTTTGAACTCAACAAACACGTATTTACAATACTTTCCAGTCGTTCCCTAGGGTTGGGTTGGAAGAACTATTATAAACAATATATAATTTAGACTCCGATTAAATATGAAAGCTAGGGTAGGAAGAACACTGAATTATTCACTTTATAACCAGGGTCTGGAAATAAATTGCTGGAAGAAACTTTTTGAAAGTTTTCTTAGTAATGGTGTATGCATTCAAAGAATGTGTGGTCTATTTTCTGGCCTCAACACCATCCTCGAAATGAGATTCGGAAGAGGTTGGTAATTGGTAGGTTCACTTAGCATAAATTACATATTAAAATTTCACGATTCGAGAAATGAGCGTAAAGTTTAGACGAATTGATTGACTATGTCAGACTACAGAAGATTTATATGAGCTTAAGCCATTGCAGTCGCTCCCATTTCATCCCGTACAAAAATTCATGGATATCCTTCCCACTCCAGGAGGCTGGACACTCTTCGAATTTTAGCTCTATTTTCTTTCATTCAATAAACAACTGCAACTGATTCCTTCTCCATGAACATGATAAATGCTACCATCACCGGTTGATGGATCGGTTAGCACTGGGCCACCACGGACTTGATCTCGAACGGCTATGAGGAAATCTGCAGTCAGATCAGTCTCTTCTCTTATGATATCCACTAATTGGGCTAAAGGTGTTGATTCAGGCTCCTGCGTTAGGGAAAAATCAAACAGTAAGTCATTTAATACGTATAAACGTAGTTTTGAACTCGGCAACGATCTTCTGTAAACGTAGATTACCTGTCCAATTGAGATTAGAAGGTTGTGGTCTTTAAGAAACTGTTATAAAAGATTCATTATCTAATTCATAAGGTCTAATATATATAGTTTGTTCATGAATAAGTAAAAATTGATAATGTTCTAATTAAAACGAAATTCGTTAGACAAAATAAGATTTAATAATTGGAATAAATGATATTAAGAATATATTTATTTAAATAAAATATTAAACAAATTAGATAAATCTTTAAAAAACTTTATAAAACTATTCGAAGTTTTAGAAAAATAATTATTAAATATTTTATTAAAATAAGATATTTTGATATAAAGAATATACTTATATACTTAATAATGTATATAAATTGAATTGATATATAGATCAATTATTTTGATATTAATATTATTATTTATTACTAATATTATTCAAATGCTTAAAAGATAATTAAAAGTAACACTAATCTGAGAAATGAAAGCAACTTTGGAGTTAAATTCAGTTTCGTTTTTAGATTTATATTAGGTTTTGAGGAACAAATTAGTGATTTCTCTTTGTAGTCATGTTACAACGGATTAGTAACAGGCTGTAGAATCACTGACTTATAGGCTATAATGATATTATAGGCCTCAGTGATTCAGCTGCAGTATACCGGGGGACACTAGGCACCCAAGGAAAGCCTCAGGCATGTATATAGTATTAGTTATAGAATACACTGAATCATAGGACATGGTTCCTAGGACAGTAGGGTCCTAAGAAGAATAAGCAATACAGGACACAGTAAGCAAGAGAGGTCTTGCTAGGATTAGTAAGCTCCCAAGGGATTAGCCCTAGGACAGGAAATAAGACAGGACGACAAGACTCACGGGACTAGTATCACGTGATGGACCATCCCATCAGTCCCACCGATTATTATCAATGGGATCAGTGGGATCCCACTACGCCCACTACTCTCAGTGAGTGGGATCGATGGGATCGCAGAGTGCAAAGGTCTATATAAGGGAAAGGGTTTCCTTACATGTAGAGCTTCGTGCTCAAGAACAATCATTAGTTTCATTACTATAGTTACGAGAATTGCAACCAGTTACAACCTTATTGAATTCCTACTTGAAGTCTAGTCTAAACCACCTCGAGAGATCTCTAGACACTTCCACGTGACCCTAGAGGCAGCTCCCGTAACAAGTCATTAGAGATTAAAGAGTGTGTAATTTGAATCTTGCTTTTCGATCTTCTGTAAATGTAGATTACCTGTTCAATTGAGATTAGAAGGTTATAGTCTTTAAGAAATTATTATAAAAGATTTATTGTCTGATTTATAAGGCCTAGTATATATAGTTTGTTTATAAATAGGTAAAAATTGATAGTGTCCTAATTGAAACAAAATTTATTGAACAAAATAAAATTCAATAATCGAAATAAGTAATACTAAGAATATATTTATTCAAGTAAGATATTAAATAAATTAAATAAATCTTTAAGAAACTTTATAAAATTGTTTGAAGTTTTAAAGAAACAGTTATTGAATATTTTATCAAAATAAGGTATTTTAGTATAAAGAATATGCTTATATACTTGATAATGTATATAAATTGAATTAATATATAGATTAATTATTTTGATATCGATATTACTATTTATTATTAATATTATTCAAACACTTAAAAGGTAATTAAAAGTAATACTAATTTAAAAAATGGAAGCAATTTTGAAGTTGAATTCAATTTCGTTTTTAAATTCATATTAAGTTTTGAGAAACAAACTAGTGATTTCTCTTTGTAATTATTAGAGATTGAAGAGTACATAATTTGAATCTTGCTTTTCGATCTATATGATAGCTTGCAATGATTTTGCGTTTATGAAATGTAACGTGAAGGCAAGTAAAGAATTTTCCAATAGGTATTGCTAGTAATCATTGAGATTTGTACCAAGATAAGCAATCAATATTAGTGAGTAGATTCACTTTACCGGATTGTTCAAAATAGGTCTAGCGTATGGTTTCGATGGATTCACAATGATATCTACATCTATATCCATATTGCCATGGTTCTCACATTTTACCATAGAAACGTAGTCACGTGCGGTTCTAATGATGCTGAGTACTCGGGGGTCATGAGCATTTCTCTTACAAAGAATTCACGAAGATCAACAAGAATCAGTGAAAGCCAATACACCACCTTCATAAAAACACATCGATTCTCGAATGTTATGTAACTGTAAGGTGAAGTATGCCCATAGCCATTACTTCATTGACTGTCCACGAGTTTCCGCATTTTGCTCCAAATTGAACATTGATCATCGTAGTTCAATAAAACCTCGAGGACTTATCAAAGACTTTCATGTGGTATGTCTCATATCACCTCAAAATGTTCTAAGGGTGCCCAAACAGCCAATCAAAAACATGTGGTCAAGATTCAAACGCTGCTATTTGCATATGTGAACATTCATTCGAAAGTAATAGTTCTGGAACTAAAGAGGAAGAGAAAAGGCTGAATATACAGTAATGTTTTCTAGGGCTAAAGAATATATGTGGATAAAACGCAAAGAAATACATCAACACGTCATAGTGCACAAGAAGTTTGGACTGACATCAATTGGACCAAATTAAATGTCAGGAGAGACCTGGCGCAACAAAAATCGTGAGTTTGATTGATAGATAAATGGGATTCCAAACATCACTCGCGAGTTCTGAGAATAGGGGCTTTATCTCTTTGTTAGAAAATTAAAAGGTCATGCGCCACTCTCATGGAGACGGATGAGTATCACAATACACGTGATGTGAAAGTTTGTAGTCGTTCAAAGGAAGAGATATAACGACGGTATATTGAGTCGAACCTCTACATAGAAGACTCCTTGATTCTACCATCATATCATCTCAACAGAAATCCTCTCACAAAACTTCCTATGACTACTCAAGTTCTCCTAAACTTATAACAGTCCTCGTCCTTTGTGTGGTTGTGGTATTCGCATTTGGTGGCAGGGATCCTTGGATCAGTGACTCTCGGATCTGTTGGTATTGCCACCTTGACATGTTTGAGAAGTGCAAGCATGAAGTCTGTAAAGATATCACTGTCGCTTTGCATTGCCTTGATGAAATGGTCATTGAGATTGAAACCCAAATCTTCTTGGGTGTGAAATCTCCAAACCAACACCTGGATAGCATATCGCCGAAGTGCTGACCCTTGTGGAGTGATCTGGTATGCCCTTGTAGCCCAGTCCATGCTAAAAGTTGCATTTTTAGCTTTACAACTCTGTCGATAGACATCCAGTGCACGATCCTCCAACTGAGTGAGACCAAGCTTTTCTGCTAACGCATAAAAGCACAGGAAGTTCCAGCTCTCCGGTCTGGCGCTGACTTCAACCTCGTAAAATCGAATGTGTCCAGAGTATACCCACTCGATAAGTATATCAAAAGACTCCGGAATGTCCTCCGGAAATCTTGCCGAATTCTCTTTTGCTTCTTTGAATCCACCATTAAACATTTTATCGAAATATGATATTTTGTTGCAGATAAAAGATTTATGGACTCGAAAAAGGGCTTCTCCGGGGCCTGCTATGAGGTCTACCATCTCTGTCTTGCTGGTAGAAGTTAGTTTGTATCATTCACATCCAATTTCTGGACTTATACTTAAGAAATATAAGAGCTGGTGATTTCTTAACCTCGACAGTCCTTTCGACGATCGAAGCTGCAGGTAGAGCTGAGAGCATGGTCGCGGGCGCATTTCCGATTTGTTTCCCACCGCTAGCCGCCAAAAACCCTCCAGCACTAGAACGTTGAGGCTTGAATCCCGACATGCTTCAAGATCGGGATCAAAAGTCTGGTGCAAAGCGTTTCAGAGTTGGCTCAAGCAGCAAAAGCTTCCCGTGTAATCAGTATGAATTTTTAAGATCAATACTGAGAAAACAGTGGCTTGAAGAACCACGGATCTCAGCGGTAATAGAACCTTCACGAAGATCGACCACTTGGGGTGAATGGTTTGAGATATTGCAAAAGGAGCAACATTTTCCAAGAGGTGAATTGAAAAACTTATCCTACGTGTAAATCAATCCTTTCGAGCAAGACAGAAAAGTGAATTATCCTAAGAAGTCTGACTAAAAGATGAGAGATGTTTGTAGTTACTAGTAAGTCACGGACTTTCGCTTCAGCCATCCGACTGTGCCCTAGCATCAAAAAAGTACATATTGGACTTGTAAGGCTGTTCATATTAGATGTAGATATATTTCTAATTTACATGCTAAATTTACTGCAGAGAAGTCACAGCACTTTCATTCACACAAATAGTCGAAGGAAGTAGAGGTTATGTTCTAGAATCTGCGTGATATTGGTAAATTAAAATCACAGTAACTCGAGTAGCAGAGCTTTCTAAACGAATGTGAACACTGATAAATCTTATGGATCAACTGTGGCTTTTCTCTTGTTATTTTTATCTGCTTCTGACTGCACTCCTTATCAGAGCGTGGGTGTGATATAAACAATTGCTCCCAAACCTCGGGTCTTCAGCCTTGATACCTTTACAGACTTGGTCTCTCAGAGCTTCCAGGAAGTCTTTGCACAAGACTTCATTTTTCATAGCCCTTGAAATCTCAGGAGTTTTCCATTTCTCCCGAAAGCTCTTCCTACTCAATACGTAAAGCAAGGAGTCTAGTGCATACAAGTGGTATTTTGATCCTTCTTGGGACATTGTATAAGCCAGAACCATCTTCTTAACCCCCATGAAAATCCCTAGTATGTTTGTAGGTTCGTATAGCGTCCATGATTTCGTCCATTACTTCGGCAAGACAAAACTTCTCACAAAGCACGTATAGATCGAACGTGTCCCCGCCCAGTCTTCCATTAACTTTGATATCCTCCTGAAGCGGACGCAAGCTTCCACGGTAGATCCATCCTATGAGCAAGTCAAATGACTCGACGGTACCCTCAGGAGAAATAGCTGAGTTATTGGCAGACTCGATCCAAGAGCCATCAAACATCTTATCAAAGTATTGAATTTTCTTCGGGAGAATGCCTTTGTGAACATGGATGAGCTTCTTGTCAGGCCCAACGAACAGATCCACCATCTCAGTGCCTGCAAAAATATTAAATTGTTTAGTATCAGAGAGTTCGTATCAGATCAAGAAGGAACTTTTACCCCATAAAAGAGACATCTTTCAGATTTTTTGAGCGATTCGCGGAAGCCTTGTTTGATCTAAAAAACAAGGGCTTGAAAATCTGAGTATGAATCTATCTCCACAATAGTTTATGCCTTTTGAAAAGCTGAGGTAGGTGAGCATAAACTTAGTGAATCTTTAATGGCAGAGCAAGCTACCGTTGTGAAATTGAGTTATTCTTTGAAGCCATATTTGATTACGTGAAATCGACGCGTAAGACCGTTCGGAATTGCCTATAGGTGGATACTTCAAAGATTTCTTGGTGATTAATAAATCGTGAATAAAGGTGACTTATTTATGTTGAGGAGCTGACTTCCTAGAAGACGCCTGGGAAGCTCGCAAGGCTACTGCTGTCGTATTCACTTCCAAGTTTCCAACACTTTATGGATGAATTTAATTTGAGTGAAGCTATTAAAAAAATCAAAATACATGAGACGAAAGCATGATTCAATTGCGAAAGATCCTGATCCTATCTATGCACATTTTTTGTACTCAGATAATGTATCGCGCCCACAACCGTCTAAGATCAGTTGGAATAGTGAAAGGATTAAGTACTCATGATCATTGACGTACATTAGATTAGATATGATAGCTGTCTATACGCGCTTGATGTGGGCTCAGAAATTTCTAATGTAAGATGACATGGTGCCATATCTGCTTTTGCTCGCCATCGTCCCCCTAAAGCAAAATTGAATTCCCAGCAACGCGAAAGGAACCTATATTACCGAGCATCGTATAGATTCGAGGTGGAGAGTATCGTCATTCTTTCAGAAGCAAATTGAAACAAGCGACCGGGACGATTATAGCATATTCAATAAAAACGGAACACTCTGGGACCCATCACATTGCCACTCGCATTATGTTCTCTTCCTGCTACTTCCAAGTAACTCTCCAGGATTTCCTCATTCTTAGCTAAGAGCTTTGTGAGAGCGGCCACATCAACATCAGATAATGGAATTGGTTCGCCGTGACAATCGATCGAACACCCACGCCCGTTAGCTGGCGATTTTAATGACTGGAATCGAAGCATACGGGTAGCATACTGGCGGGGGTAGTGATTTGCTTGCTGTCTTCTTAAAAATGTACCGGAACTCCTCAGCTACGTAGTAATTTTCAATTGAATCATCGTTTTCTCGCCATGTGTCCATAACGTAATTTTTTAGATTTCCCAAGCAGAGCTTGTCCGCCAAACCCCAGAGATGCAATGTCTTGCGGAAATCTTGACCCCTAAGTGACCGGATATTATCGTTTGTGACCCAGCACATTAACATGTCAAACGCTTCACGATCATCTTCTCAGAGTACCGCCGCATTTTCATTCGCCTCTTTGTAGTTTCCGTTGAACATTCTATCGAAAAATTCAACCTTGCTGCACAATAAGTCTTTGTAAACCTATATTGCTTATTAGTTATTCGGTTGACGTAGATCCTGAGCGATATAAAATCTAAGAAACAATTTTTACTTCATATAAACCTATACAAAACAACATTTTTTCTTCCCCAATATAAATATTCAACATCTGCGTACCGTTCTTTCCGAGAAATGAGTGTCGTGTACCCGCTATTCTCCCAGCCAAAGTTGAAGTTGAAGTTCCTGTTCTGGACTGCCCTAAAACATCCGGAGATTTATGATATGCTGGAGTTTTCTGAATTACATCTCTCGTGACATCTGCGATGATGACTTTCTACTCAATGTCATCCTCCTCTGGAGAATCTGATAAAACCACCACTCCTAAGTCGGTTTGACTCGCCTTTCTCTTCCTTGATTGACCAACCATATCTTGCCCAGAGTTGATATCTCCAGAAGAGATGAGAACGGTTTGAGCTTAAAAGATAACAACAGACGAAAAGTCGTTTAAGACAAGTTCAAAAACAAAAATGAAGGGTTTGGTGAACGTTTGAGACAGACGTAAGTGTTTTGGAAGGTACAAGTTGCGCCAAAATTCAACGCGACAAGTATTGATGAAGAAAGAGAGACATTGAAGTGAGTTGATTATGTAATTTTGACTGACCAAAGCATTTTCGGGTGACGCAGCAGTACATGAAACTTTATAACCTATACAACCTGTAATAGAGTGATGTTTACTGAAAGCTGGAGTACCAAACGCTGAAGTATCTATTGGTGTGCTCTGTCACTCAAGAGAGTTTGATTCTTTAACTTATAATTGTGTGAAACATAAATTGCCCTTATTATTCTCAATTCTTGACGCTCCTCTCAATTCTAACATCACTCTGAGCATGGACGAGATGCCACCAAGATCCGGTTTCAAACATTTTAGAGAAAAAGCCGGTATATGATAGTCAGCTAGAAGCAAAAGAAGCAAAAGAAGCAAAAGAATGTAAGTAAATCTTAAAAGAAGCATACTTTAAGAAATTTATTCAATTTGGAAACAAAAACTATCTGCAGAAATGCAACAGGGGTTTCTAAACCGTTGCAACTCCGTATGCTTGTAGAAGCATAGATGGAATATCTTCATGAAACATGTAACTATCATCCCCCATCAAAGGTATCAGAAACCCACTTCATATTACACCAAGAATTTCCAAGTTGCGGATATTGATCTTAGATCACTCCATACCGTCGAATTCTCTCGAAATATCTACAAACTGTACAGTTTACCTAAAATTATCCTGCCAGTGAATCCTCAACGCCGCAAGTTCAATTATGATCTAGACCGCATTAGGACTCTTAATCCAATTAGGACAATCCTCATATGAAAAATGCTGATGCAATTCGCATAAATTCCATTTTCGTGGATCAAGAGGATGCTGACGAGTTCCACGAACTGCGATTTGGCTTCTGCAGTAGTCGATATAGTCTACACCAGCATCTTCAGAGCGAGAGAGGAGATTCCAAAGCTCGGTGCTGGAAACTTTAGGGATGCCTGTGTCTTGGTTGCATTCATCAGAGGTCAAGAGCCAGCTTAATTTTGTGTTATTGTGTGTTCAAGGATTGAGGGAAGGGGAGAGGAAGATGTTATGGGAACGTACTAAAAGACTGCAATATAAAGCTTTCTCAAAGGATTACCTTGCTCCGTTTGCGAGTAAACAGTATGCAAGTCCCGAATATCCGGTAAGATAACCGCTTCTTCACTACTGCCCCAAAACTCTTTCGTAGCCGAATCCATAAGCTTATCGCACAATAGAGGGAGGTTAAAATCACTCGCCATAATATACGTACGTACGAAATGGTAATTGGAAAGACCTTCAGCTCGTCCTGGTTTATGTAATTCAAGCGGCATGATTGTACCCTGAGTAAGACATTGAATGATAACTCTGGAAGATGAAGCCATGTATCCGCGGATATAGACGTATTTGGAGTAAGGCTTGCGAAATTTTCGAAAGAGAGGTACGAGCTCGAGTATGGCTCTAAAAACGGTTTCTGGGAAGTAGAATGTTGCGTAATCGTCTAGTTGACCGCCGAGACCACAACTAATCATGTAATTCTTTCTGTGAAATTGTTAGATGTGAGGAATGATGATAGTGGGAAAGATCACTTACTCCTCGGGTTCCTCGAACTTCTCGCGACTACGCTTGTTGCTGTTCTGAGATGGGACCCAGGATGGACCTTTAGATTGTTTTAATGCCATTGTTGTTTTTGTAGCTGGCTTTTTATCCTCGTCCACAGAATCGATAGTATGACTTGTATTATGAGTAAGAGGAGAGATAGATGGTGTGGCTAAAGTAGCAGCTGCCTGCTTATCGTGAGCCTTTACGGACTTTTTTGTAGGATTTGCAATGGAAGAAGATGATCTAGAGATCGCTTGTCTCTCTAGTACTGAAGGTGGGAGCTCTTTTGAAAGTCGTGGGGCCTTTTTGCAAAGTTTTGTCTTCTTTTTGAGTGAGAAAGAAGAAAAGGGACGGGTGGGAAATATCGCTATGCGTTCCAAAGATTCACTTGGGATCGGTTCCGTATCCAGCTTTGGATAAATTGATCGATACTTTCCGACTGTGTTAGCAGTTGCTGATGTTGTGGCCGTAGTATTAATTAGAGACGCGGCACCTGTTCCGGTAGTAGCCATGGGTTGTTTAAGAAGCGGCCGAAGGGATCTTTGAGCCGAATTGGATGGTTCTTTAACATCAGGTTGTTTTGAAACTCGAGTTCTTAATGAAGGTTTGCGATCCTTGTCAGGAGAAGCAATATTTTGGGTAGAAGACATGGCTGGTGGTAGTAATTCCAATTTAAAAGCTGTGTTCAATTTGAAGAAGTATCAAGGGTGTGGCTGTCAACATAACCTATCGAATTTATCAGAGTCAGGAATACAAGATGTTGAAAATTTGGATTGAGAAATCTGACAAGCCTTGCTAATTTTATTTGAGAGAGCTTGAGCAAATTAGATTTTTAAGCGAGAATCTATGGTCTTATTTCGTCAATCATGTGAGCGACAATTCACTTTTTTTTCTTCATGTTAGTAGTAAGAAAATGATGAATACTTCCTTCGAGTATCGATTCAATTGATATATACCTACCTAGGCATACAAAAAAGCACTTAGCAAAAGGTGCTGTAGTATGATATTCTATATTTCTTTCTACTCACCACTCTAGAAAATTAACATTTTGTAATATTACTAGTTTAGCACCCTCGCTCATCCAGTACAGCTACCTAGCTATAACATACAACTTGAGATCATTCACTGTACTTTGGATGAATCCTACTAACTTGAGGGAATTTGTATTGAAATATACTCTTGTATTAATAACTATCACTGTAATACTCCTTGAAGGGAGGAGGGGAAATCGATCTCCAATAAAAGAGGTTTGGGAAGCTTCATCTATACGCTAGTAAAGAATGCAATCAATCAAGACTAAAAAGAAAATACCAACAGAAGAGTCGTATTAAATCACTATTGAAAAGAATGACATCTTTGGGACAGTTGCATTTTGATTTGAAGAAATCAAGTCACATCAATTTCAACTAGAGATAAATTGCTGATTATCAAAAGAACAATTTTATGAACAAACTTTGATAAACTACATACTTGAACAAACGAGACCAAATTTCATTGCAATAACGGAATATACCTCATCCATAACCGAATCACAAAGCATCAAAATCATCACCGCTACTCCCTCTACTTCCCAATCAACGGACCCTCAAAAACCCCCTCAAACGCCTCCGCCAACCAAGCCTTCCTATCCCCCGGCATACTCAGCTCTCCCTTCCCAGGCCAACCCTCTATCCAGCCCGCCATTCCATCCGCCTCCCTAACACACTCTTTCCAATCCCCCTCCTCCACATTCTCACCCTCCTCCACCATAACTACCACCGCACTTTCCCAATCCCTAAACCCCTCTTCCAATAACGTCCTACTCCCATTCTTCAACCACCTCCTCTCAATCCTCAACTTCATAGTTTTCTTCCCCCCCACCTTCGCCCTCTGTACGATCGCCGAAAGATGTCGTTTCAACTGCGACACATTCCACACTACCGGAATATCATGACAGGCCAAATAATGCGGCGGTGTCGCATCCGGCAAATAATGTTTCGCAGAAGTGAAAATCATAAGATTGAGACTGATTTTTCTGCGAGCAGGAGCCTTGGCAGCATAAGCGTGCATCCAAGCTATAGAATCAGGGGCCAACTCGTAGTCAGCCGGAACAGGAGAATGAACAGATGGAGATGGAGGATTGGAAGCTATATCTGCAGCAGGTCTTACTTGCAAATGTGTAGGACCTCTGGGAGTCAACCAGGACAGATCGGGAAAATTTAATCTGTTGGCGATGTTTTGGAAAAGTCCACCTCCTGCAGCCCTATTTGCAAGTGCAGCTGCTGCAGCTAACTCTTCGACTCTTTTATCCTTCTCTTTCTTTTCACGTTCCTTTCTCTTCTTTCTGAGATCAGGATCTTTTGTTTCTGACCCGAGAGTTTCTACTCTTACTGATCTTTCACTCTTTTTTTCCTTCCGCTTCTTCGCTATACGTTCGCGGGCCAGTCGATCTTCCTCCACTTTTTTCAAACGTGTAGTCTCTTCGAGATCTTTCTGCTTAAGATCCTTTTCTTCTTGCGACACTCGATCTCTCTTCTCTTTCTCTAGACGTTCATTTTTTTCACGTTCTTCCCGATCACGTTTTTCTCTTTCCATTCGATCTTTCTCCTTCTGCTGCTGATATTTCTCACGTTGAAGCTCGTTGTACAGACGATTCATTTCTTCTTCTGCTAATCGATTTTTCTCCGCTTGCTCCACACGTTCCATTTCTTCGCGCTCTTTCCGCTTCTGCTCACGCAGACCTTCCGCTAATTGCCTTCTCTCCTCCTCAATCCAAAGTTGTTCCTTTTCCGCCTTATCTTTAGTCTCTTTAGCCTTACGTTCTTCTGCAAGTTGGTCCTTTTGCCGTTGGATTTCGACCTCCTCATCTCGTGCTTTTTTGTCCCGTCTTTTCTTCTCATCTTCTATCGTTGCACGTTTTCTCTCAGCTTCTGCTTTTTGCTCCGCAGTCGGCGCTGGTCTATTTTTTAATTCATCTGCTCTCTCCTGAGCTAAGCGGTCACGTTCTCTCGTTTCACGTTCTCTCGTTTCACGTTCTCTCGTTTCACGTTCTCTCGTTTCACGTTCTCTCGTTTCGCGTTCTCTCGTTTCACGTTCTCGTTCCTCGCGTGCTAAGCGCTCGGCTTTGTCTCTGGCTGCGTAGTCTACCGTCGGTTTATCTTTTGCCGCCTCCGCCTCCAATTTCTTTTTCGCCTCCGTCTCCGCCTCCCTTTTCTTTCTTACCTCCGCTTCCAATTTCTTTTTCGCTTCCGCTTCTTCATTTCGTACTCTGGCAGCCTCGAGATCTTTTCGCTCCATTTCTCTTCTGCGGGCGGCTTCCTCTCTATTATCCTTCTCAATGAGTGCTTTTTTGGCAGAGTCAGTCTCAGCAGGTGGATTTTCCTCAGGCTTGTCCTTGTCCTTTGCCGTACCTTCCTCAGGCTTGTCTTTGTCCTTTGCCGTACCTTCCTCAGGCTTGTCCTTGCCCTTACCCGTATTCTCTTTCCGCGCACGTCCTTCCTCTTCAAGTTTGCGTTTGATCTCTTTTATATAATCATCAAGATCCTTGTTTTCCTGCTTTGGCTTCGCTTCACCTGCTGGTTTGGAAAGATCGACTCCTCCAGCTTTTGCCAGGAGATCATTTTTTATCTTGGCCAAGATATCTCCAGCAAAACCTGTTGGGGAATCTGGCTTCTTCTTCTCCTCCTTGTCTTTCAAATCTTTAGCCATCTTGTCCCTTGCAATTTTATCCGCTTTCGCTTTCTCTTCTCTCTCCTTATTGATCTGATCTCTGACCGCCATTTCCATTTTCTCTCTCTCTTTCCTCTCTTCCTCGGCTTTATTCCCTTTGGCAATTTCATTTCTTTTTCTCTCCTCCTCCTTTGCCTTTTCTTCAGCTTCGGCCTTACCTCTCGCTGTCTCCGCATCCTCCAATTCTTGTTTCCTGAGTCTTTCAGCTTCTTCCCAGGCAGCCGCCTCTTCACGATCTTTCTTCTCTCTGGCCATTTTCCTTTGCTTGCGCTCCTTTTCCTCAAGAGCCTTTAGCTCCTCTTTGGGCATCTCCAGTCTAGCAACAATTTTTTCTAATCTTTTCTTCGCGGCTTGAATCCGCTTTTGACTTTTTTCCTCTTCGGCTGGGTCAATCGGACCGGAATCCATCACCGTCTTTTCTTTTTCCAACAACAACTCTGGATCAATAGGTTCGCCTTCTCCTGTCCTGACTACCTCCTCGTTATGTCTTACCATCGCCATATATTCCAAGAAATCTGCAACCTCACGATCCGTTTCAAAAGTGAGACTTGTTCTTTGTTCTTGAATCGGCGAAAGAGAGTTTTCAGCTCTAAAGGGCGAACCAGGACGTGGTTCAGGAAGTGGTATCTTCTCTTCTTCCTCGGTTGAATTTGTTCGAGGTTCTGTTTCCGCGGAATCTCTCGGAGCCAAAGATACATTAACGGCTGCAGCTGCCTCAGCTTCTCCAATGTCTCCAGCTGCTTTAGGCGCTGTGCGGACATTGAGTAGACCTTTTCTTCCTGAATCCTTTTCGCCTTGTGTAGCTGGTTCAGGTATATAAACTCCCCTACCTATAAGAGCTGCCAAAAGTCCAGAAATATCCGTCCGTTTTCTTTGCCCTGCCACCGGTGGTACGTTTGGCGGATCACATACCCCCTCAATATCCTCAAGCTTCTTACCCATTTCCACATCCTCAACCTTGTTCTTTGCTACCTTTGCCGCTAGAGTGTCCGTAAAGTGACGTTTCTTTGCCTCCTCTTCTTCCTTATTTGGTTTATCAAGTTGACGTAATTTCAATAGCTTTTTCTCAGCTTCAGCTTCCGATTTCAGCCAAGCATCTTGTCGATCGGCTTTCACCTCATCCGCTTGTTGTTTCCACAGGTCCGTCAATTCCTTGTTTCTTTGGAGTAATATGGCTCGACGAATATCTTGGAAAGCTTCCCAATATGTGTCTCTCTCTTGCGAATCGGAGAATGTACCAATATGATCAAAAAGATCTTCAAGTTCTTCAGGCGCATCTTCTTTTTCCCATTTATCTCTCAGAAGTTGTTCGGCGAAAGACTCTCGAAGTACCATAGGTGATGGTTGTTGTGCAGGTGCCGCGAAGTGATGTCCAGCCTGTATATCTAGCGCCGCTCGCTCGGCAGGCATCATATCAAACGCCTTTCTCCAAACGGAATCGGGACGCAAATGCATCTGGAGTTTTACTTGTTCGACCTTTTCATCAACTTCGATTTCGCGATCCATTTCTTGAAGTACTTCCTCCAATATGCGTTTCACCAAAACATTTGTTTCTAACTTCACATTATTTCTGAAAGCATTCCGATTTTGCCGTTTTTCTTCCAACCTGATAGCTTCTTTGATACTAAGCGTGCACTGGATGATGACGTTTTCCAACTGGGGTAGTTTGCTCTGCTCGGTTCCAATTTTGAGCTGGCGACTCGCTGCACTTCTCTGTTGAAAAAGCCATGCCAGATGTTTTTCGCGTGCATCATATAGATCATTTTGTGCCCACGCTTCGAGTTCTTGAGCTGCGGTTTTACCTTCGGAGCTTCTACCACGGTCCACCCATTCCTGGAACTTTTCTTCGACAGTCGGTGGATCTGCAGGCTCGGCAGCCCATCTACGATACTTTTCTTTTCGGCCTGGAGAAGTCTACTTAGGTCAGCACGTGTAATTGCGAAGCGTGTGCTAGATTTACTTACATTCGAACCATGCGGTAAAGGCTTTGGAACCGGGTGTCTTGGAGGAGATGCACTATATAAGCTGCCGTCATCATCTGCTACAGGCTCCACGGCAGACCGTTTTCCCTTATCCGAATCTACCTTCCCAGTCTCCAAATCCTCACCATCTCCAGGTGAAACAGTCTTCTTTTGACTTTCGGGATTTTCCGTCTCTTTACTACCCATCGAATTTCTTTCAGCAATAGGGGAGAGATTAAGATTTCCTCGCGGTCTCCGTTGTTGTCCACCTCGCCCGCTCGATCTACCACCTTGCGAAGGGTAAGCTTCTTCTTCCCTACCCAAAGGTTTCGTTGCTTGCAAAGTATCGAGGGGTTTCATTGCTGGCACAGAAACCGTGGAGCCCCGAGCCCTTTGGGCCCGACGCTCCGCTCTCGTTTCCCGAATACCAGTCTGAACCCGAGTCGATACCACAGCTTGTATTCTAGCCATATCATAAGAGCCATCTGGATTCTTGAACTGTGAAATGTCCAATACCTGTGGCTTTGGTTTTGCAGGAGGAGTGATCTTGAATTTCAGATCCTTATCAGCCTCCGCAGGTTTGGGACTCGGCTGTCCTGTACCCTCAGCCGGTCTCCCAATGCCAGACAAATCATTCTCACCATCTCCCGTTCCCGGTAATGCAGGACCACCTCTACCACCAAGACCACCAGCAAAATCTTGCGAACGCATTGCAGGCCGTTCACCAGAATCTTGAATTGTTCCCGAAAGATCAGCCGCGTCGCGACTGCTGAAACTACGTCCAACCTCTGTTTTGCCACTTAGAATTTGCGTCCTCCCTTCTGATAAAGTCAACGAGCCTGGTATTGAGTGCGGTGAATCTTGTCTGCGGCGTCCAGTTATATCGGTCATGTTATACCCAATTATTATTGTACTTGAAAACGTTACGTGTGCGATACAAACTTTTCGAGAAGGCGATCGATTGCAGCAACGATTATTTGCCGTTTAGACATAGATTGAATAGCTGGCTTTATGCATAGCGGCCCCTTTGTTGAGTTCTAAATTGATCCGGCCACTAAAATCGTAGTCGTGATTGATTGTTCTGTTTCCCGTATATCAAATCGTACTTACAAAGAAATGTCTTACGAACCGGAATCGGTCACACGCCTTTGATCGTCCTTTTCAAATAGCCATAGCAGCCATAATCCAACAATGTAGCTTTATTCAATGCCAAGGGTATCATCAATGCAATTGTAAAACTGTGTGAGAGAAAGCCATTGACATTCGCTAGGCATGTCCATAGAAAATAGATGCGAGCAAGTAGGATCAGGATGGGGGCTCTGACCCCATCAGGCAGGGAGGTAATCTAGGAATCTGGACTATAACCGACGGCTCAAATTGTCGCGGCTCCACTCTCTCAACGTTATAAAGAAGACGCACTCGATTCACAGCTTTTCTTGCCTCTCGCCCCTGCTCGAAAGCACGCATTGTCGTTTCTTGACCCAAAAGCTCATGATCATACCACCATCGCCAATCAAGATCATCGAGATGATCAATGAAGAATGCACCGGCACCTTGCGTAACGTTTCCCGTCTGGAAGTTGTTCCTCGCTGTATTGAAATGTATACCATCAAGCCATGTTTTGTTTCCACTTAAAATTAAAGGTGCCGAACCAAATTTAACAATTTCTCCTCTAGAATTGGAATTATCCGTCCCTTTATTGTAGAAGATAACAAATTCGTCAATCAGATGACTCCAGGGAAGTGTACGCATCACTTCCGTCGATTGATGTGCGCTTAATCTATAGTTTTCTACTATCCTTAAACTTTCAATGTCTGCTATATTCCAGCCCAAATTTTTCAGGCCATTTTTCAGACATATTTTGCGTACTTTGTTGGCAGCCAGAGATAATCCTGGGCCATACCAGCCTCGTTCACGAGCCATCAAATCAATCATTGAGCTGAAACACAATCTATCTGTCTTCCAATTGATATAGAACTGAGATCCCTTTAGTGCACCGCTATATCTTGGACATGAAAAGTCTACAAGGCTATAATATTTGAGGGCTTCGGCCCTAAACTCTTTGTTAACATGTAGGACCGGTGGAGGTTTAGTGTAGGTAATCAGTGAACCTGCAGCGTAAGCAGTCACCGACTCAGGTCCTCCCAAGGTCGCGACAATTTCGAGTGTACGCAATGATACATCGATATTTCGTTGCTCGAAACAAGCCGACTTCATAATAGGACAACGAAGCTCGATGGGCAGATCTTCAAAATATGTAGATGTGCTCGAGGTCGCCATGGTTCATGTGATGTAGTGTGAGCACAACGAACGGTGTTTGAAATAGAATGACAGCGGAAGCTCTAGAATGGTAATTGATTAAAAGTCGGATGATAAGATCTGCTTCGAGGATGAGAATCTCAATGCTTTGAAAAGGTGTCAAGGAAGCTGTCGAGGAAGAGGTCAGTAGAGATAATGAGGAAGATATAATAAGAATTAATAGAGAATCCTAGACGAATTTTTTCAATCAGCAATAAGAGAAGCTACAGGGAGTGCCTTGAAAGTATTACTCTTGTAAACTCGACCAGTGATACTAGCTAAGGAACTAGGTATAAATTCCAGAGAATGATCATCCTGCTGTTCAACTAGCATGAAGCAATCGAAAACTCAGCGTTTACATAAGCTGAGCTTAGTATCCGATTGGACAGTCAGCTTTGTACCAAATGAACCATTACCTCTAAACTACCTCTAGACTCGCGTCTAGCTGCCACAAGTTCAGGTTTTGACGTCGCTACTTACATCATGGAAAGGACACCTCTCATTTCCAAAACAAGGCAGGTTAGGTGAATACTTGGTTGATCTCCCATAATATTCTGGTATCGTATCGTCGAGCATGAATTTTCCACCCACTGTCCCACCAGGTGGATGACGAACCATTCAAAAAAGACTTCCTCCCACTTGGGGTATGGAGGTGTTGTACGACCAGGAGATAGTGGTCAGAGTGGGAGGGGAGGTGAAGGAACCTTACAATGGATTTAATAACACCAGGTGCCTCAGGACCACACGATGTATCAATCAGTATTAGAATAGGGTATGCGCTCAATTCGTCTCAACTACAGTAAACGAAACGAAACCAAGACAGGGTAGTGGAGGTAGGTGTAACATGTGAGTCGGCGAACGAAGAGAATTGCAAGCATTGACCACCCATCTATCATTCAATCATACCACGTTCTGCCAACAATTCGATCGTTCCGTCAGCCATTCATACTATACATTTCATTCTTCCAATCCTTCCAACCATCTACCATCTACCAACTCCAATACCAACAACCTAATAATAGTAGTTCTCATCGTTCGTCCTTCCTCTCATGTATTGAGGCTCGCTTCCCCTTACGTAGATATCCTCGTACAAAATTTGTGGGGTAGCGTCTGGGAAAGGCATCTCTTCGGCCTCCTTAACCTCCGCATCGACCTTTGCTCTTGCCTCCTTGTCGATTGTCTTCAACTCATCCTCGGTTGTAACGTTCCATTCAATCAACTTTTGTTTCAGACCAGCGATTGGATCTTGGGTGCTACGCATACGTTGAATTTCCTCACGAGTACGGTATGTGGTTCCTGGATCGGACATGGAGTGTCCTCCATAACGGTATGTGACATATTCGAGGACCAATGGACCGTTGCCAGCGTTGGCGTATTCCTTAGCGTGCTTAACAGCAGCCTTGACAGCGAGAGCATCCATTCCGTTGACCTTAAGACCAGGAATGTATTGACCACGCTTGTAGTAATCGGTAAGAGCAGAGGATCTGTTGGCTGCGGTACCCATACCATACTTGTTGTCTGAAACGATCAGTATACACTCAGCCTCATAGTCAGATTAGATACTTACTCTCACAGCCGAAGAGAACTGGCAATTTCCATAATTTAGCCATGTTGAAAGCCTCGAAGACTTGACCTTGGTTACTGGCACCATCACCGTACAAAGCAACAGATACATTCTTGTTGCCATTGTATTGATGAGCAAAAGCCAAGCCGGCACCAACTGGAACTTGAGCACCGACAATACCATTTCCACCATAGAAGCCCTTGGTGAACATGTGCATGGAACCACCCTTTCCGTAGGCGATACCCTCACGACGACCTAACAATTCACCGATGATAGATTTTACAGAAGCACCGCGCATAAGAGCGAAACCGTGACATCTGTAGGCAGTAATGATGTCGTCTTCCTTAGTAAGAGAGTGTTCGATACCGACGGCGACAGCTTCTTGACCAGTTGACAAATGGCAGAAACCACGAATTTTCTTCTCCTTGTAGAGTCTATCGGCTGCCATTTCCATACGACTAAATTTTCCCATCAGCGGAAAGTTCGGTCGTGATACCAAATCATATTCTTACCGCATAGAAACCATATCGATATACATCTGCTTCAACTCTTTCTTGGTGGTCTCCATGGTGTAGGATGGAGGATCGAGCTCGTAGGTCTCGAAAGACTCGTCCGACAATTGTAATGTGAATGGTTTATCATCTTCCTATACTCCGAGGGGATCATCAATATACACATTTCATGTATGCAATAGTCAATTGGGATAGCTCAACAGGAAATCTTACCTGAGGGACAGCATCTTTATCGGCGTGCGCGGAGGCGGCGTCTGTGGTGACCGTTCTCTTTACGAGAGCAGCTCTGGAAATGGCATTTCTGCGCAGAGGTGCGGCAGATCGTGCCTTCAATGCTCTCGAGAACATGGTTGTGGTGGTAGAGAATGTGTTGTAGGGAGTGAGGGAGGCGGTAGATAACTCGTGGAAATTTCTCAGCAGCTGCCAAACAAAAGATGTTGATGGTTGGGATGCTTCGATTAGAGTAGTCCCATTTTGGTTTAGTTCGGACAGATTGTTCCTCAAGCTTCCGACCCAAGATCACGTGTACCGGATCTTCTAGAGCCCGACAATTTACCATTCGGCCTCGTCGGCCTTACTTGCGGACCCTCTTGTCCAACTCGGGTTTCCATGGTCAGTCCTCATTCATCGATCACTCAAGAAGAAAAGCCAAAGCATAGATTTGATTCTTTCGCATTTTTACTATGCTACCCTACCAACTCAAAGGACAAGCTTAAGCAAGTAACTCCCTGACCGTGGGGAATCCCTAATGCAAATTCTCTCGATGCTACGCCGGTTAAATCTTTTCCTTTGAACTGTCCCCCTTTCCTTGCCCTATTGGTATTTGAGCTATTAAAAATCATCTGTACCATTCTGCCAACCAGTCAAATGAAAAACGCCCTGCCCCAGATGCTTCTTTGCTTCTTTATAAACAAGTCTTCTGTGCTTTGATCGATCAAAGGTCAATCAATATGGACATAAAATAGGTAGGTGATGTATGAGGATTGCGGAAGGATGATAGTGAAATATGTGAGACCGCATTCTCTCACGGTATTGTAATCATCTCTCAATGGAGAAATGATAGTAGTGACTATAGATTCCATGACCGAGTACGTGAAAGAAGCAATCGAATTAGTGAGTGCTTTTAATATAGATTAGTTAAATGGCCAGAATCAGTCATCTTCGTGAAAGAAAGTAGGCCCGGTAGCTTGTGAAGGAGCTGTCGATAGTCCAGCATCGACCATTTCAATATCATCCCTCTGATAAGATGCTTCATGTGTCATGATCCCTTGCATAGCTTGGTCTTGACTAGCACTCCGGTATTCGATGGCACTTAATGGTCTGGCGGGCCCAGTGATGGGAGGAGTTTGTTGGCCATAGGGGTTCTCATACAGAACATCTTCTGGTGGAGAAAATGACCACACCTTAACTTATGTTAATAAAATTCAGTGGAAGAGGTTGACTATGGTACTTACTTCCATTATTGTGCGATTTGATCTGCTTGCCATAACCACACACTTTTCTTCTTCGAAGGCCACTCTCCAGACAGCCTCGGCTGGAGCAGTGAGTTCACGAACAAGTTGGCCAGTCTTGAGATCCCACACTTTGACTCGTCCATCACTACCTCCACTAACCACTCGTGTATCATCAAATTGTAAACTTGTGACACTATTGTCATGAGCAGCTAATCGATGAATGGGGGCCATCTTTTCAAGAGACCAAACACGAACAGACCCATCAGAACCACCAGTGACCAAAGTATTCCCTCGCATTTGCAATTGCCCAACTAACGAGGTGTGTCCTTGAAGAATAGCTTGACAGCATCTAATTATTTGTTAGTTTCATTTTTGCATCTCAATCGAAAATACATACCCATTTTCTGGATCCCAAATCCGAACACTGGTGTCAAGACTTCCAGTAGCTATTCTCTTTCCATCAAAAGCAATGGCATAGATTTGGGAGAAATGTCCCGAGAGTGTTCGTAAACATCTTCCTTCCGAAATGCTCCATATTCTAGCTGTAGTATCATAACTTCCAGAAACAACAATGTCTCCTTTAATTTCAAGGCATCTAACACTTGCCTGATGACCCACAAGGACATTTTTGCAGACTCCAGTCTTAATATCCCAAATTCTTAAAGTGGTATCTCGAGACCCTGAAATTGCAGTGTTTGCATCAGACATCTTCAGGCATCGAACTGTGGAAGTGTGTCCACGCAGAGTATGTAAACTCTCCCTGTTATCTGTTAGTACCATGTCCCAAACATGTGATTGGGAAAACAAACCCAGCAGCCATGTCCCATACTCGCACATCACGATCACAACCTCCACTAACGAGGGTATCCTCCCATGGTACCATTGCCCAAACACCCATTACATGCCCGGTCAAGGTCTTTTGTGCATTTCCATCCGTGTTAAAAACATGGATCTTAGCGTTGTCCAATGCTACGACAATGTACTTTGATGTCAGATGTAGACTTGTTACAACACCCTGATCTTGTGTAATATGCCTTGCGATATTTTGTCCTCCAGTCCGCCAGGCGGTTTCGACCAAATATCTTTGTTTAAAGTGTGATTTATATGACCTAATCTTTGGTCTTCTCAATGCGCCAGAGGCAGTAGCACTATCAAAGCTTCTGGAACTTCCAGGGACTTGTGACAATCCTGAGCTGATTCCGGGAAAAGAATGTGCAAAGGCCGACGTCTCTCCTGCTTGTAATGCCTTATGAACGGGGTGTGGGGAAGGTCGAAGTGACGGTATCAGAGGTGCAACGGGATGATGTTCTGACATTCTTCGACCATAATCGTGCTTCGCACATAATTTCATCCAAGTGACATCGTCTGCAAGAAGATCTCTCCAACGTTTCGAAACCTGAGACGAGCGCGCAAGTACTTTCGGATCGTCGATACAAGACAAAATCTATACAAATCAATTAGCTTGAGCTTCACCTTTGTAAAATGGAAACATACACGAAGGCATAGTTCATCTGGTAAAGTGGTAAATGGATCTTTCTTCAGTAACGGGCTAACATATTGATGTACAAAGCTTAGTTGTTGGCTTGTACACAAGTTCAAAAGATCTCCCAATATCCTCGTTCTTTCAGGTGCTGAGCTTTGCGCGAAGTATATTCTGATTTGTGATAAAAATATGTCCTCCTTCTCTCCCGCTTCACTCCAATCTGGTTGCGGGTGATCAGGACCTGGACTCGCTGCCGGTGTAGGAGGGGGAGGGGGGTCATGACTCGAGTGTGTGGGAGATTGTATGTCGGCGGAAGAAGTCGTCATGTTTGGAGTCGGAGGACCTCTTGGTCTACTGAGGATCTTTTCTAATCGTTGCGGCATTGGAATGCAGTCGCCATTTGTGTCGACCGTCAACGGTCGGGTGGGAGACATTTCGCCGTCTCTTTCGATGGGTGCAATGGAAGCCCTTCTGTCTGTTAAGCTCAGAGGTCTGAAATTATCCATACCCGCTTTCTCCTTATTCTCTGTTCTCAACCAATTGTTCCGTCGAAGTCAAACGGCTGAGAAAGGGTTATGATCGTAGATGCGGAGGTCGTGAAGGTCTTTCCTGACTAGATTGAGGCTTGAGACTAAGGGAAGGATTTGGATTGACAATCAACGGATGAAATCTCGACCATAGAAATTAAAGACAATTGCGCCAATTGATAGAAAGTCGAATATATTAGATTTAAACCAAGGAATCGTCTTTTAACGTGTGTTAAAGGCGGTGTTGAGAGAAGGTCGTGCAACGTAGTGTCCAAGGGAACACATTCGAATGCGTTGTCGTTAGGCTTGAAACTCGATGATTAATGGCACAATTTGAATCAAGTATGTATTAATATCTATACCGATCACGAATATAAATGGCAAGAATCAATCGTAGTGATATGGTCTATACTTGTTGGATTGTTGGACGATAGGATAATATTCCAAAAGAGAGTGATATAGATCCTTTCGTACTTTTAATGTACTTTGTACTGGCTGGGCTGAGGTTGATCTTGAGATGAGAGCGAGTCTTCTGTGTGGTAAGCCAGTGGAAGTGGAACGTCGTTGGGTCGTGGGTCGTGGGTCGTGGGTGGATTTTGCTAATTGGAGTTAATGAACTTTTGGGTGGTCTCAGTCATTATTGCGGTCATGCCTAGTAGCCAGGGATAATTTGTTAATGAAGTAAGGATGTTGAAGAACTTTAAAGTAGAAAAAATGGATGATCATTTAGTATGTTATCACGAATGGCTTCTATGTGATGCCGGTATGGCCATTCAGAGTTGTGTCACGGTCTTGGATGGAGATGTCTTTGGGGATGAATGTTATCGACTCGAAGATATCCAGATCAAGGTATGGCAGGGTACTGCAAACAGACAATCACACATGGTAGAATTACCTAGTATCGAATGAATGATCCTCCAAGTTTATTATTGTTCCTCCTTTATAAATCTATAAATCGAGGGGCAGATCTATCTGTATCTGTACTGTCTGTACTACCTATTGAAGTGTCAACATCACTCGCTCCTAAGTTGATAAATGATTTCAGGTCTTCGTCGTCATGACTTTATCGATAGTGCAGAATTGTGAAAGACTGTCAACTAGAACTGAGATCTTTCAATCTCTATCTTACCACCAGAGTAGTAGTTCAATGAGAGCCTCAGTGAATGAACTTTATGATCTAAGGGGGGCTTAAGTTCTGGTACCGATTCGTTGATTGACTGATTGAGTTGGTGGTGGTGGTGGTGGTGGTGGTGGCGGTGGAACTGTCACATAGCTACAAATATTCCATTTAAAAATCAATAAGTTACTCTAGATCTGATTTTCCACGCGCCTAATAGCAACTAAGATCTAGACAGTGTCGCCATCATTACCCGAGTTATCTTATGTGTTATCTCATCGTCGCATACTCCTGTTCCTGTTCATCATCGCGCCATTCTTCTCTCATTAGGAAAGTTGTAAGATGCAAATTACAGTTTCTACGCAATGAACATCCATTCATCTCATCCAACCTACATCAGTGCACACCACATGACCTATTTTGTCTTTCACCACATACATTCATCATCACAAATCATACTCTTTCAGGAAAACCTACCACATGATATCACGAATCACTGCAAATCGAGAATCCACCCATCCATCTTCAAAAAAGGGGGGGCGAAAAACTCACTTGCTAGTAACTACCTACTCATGCTGTGCCACTAAATAATCTAATCTAACACTACCTAATCGCCTCCCCTTTGTTATCGCGATAAGGCCTCTTAATAAACATTTCCCAAATACATCATCGCTCTGCTCACCAAAATCGGGAGCACGCTCACCAACTTTTCAATAGTCAAAGGTTAAACTCAAGGCTTAAGCCAATATGCTGGAAACAGAAGGCTGTGCATGTGTATATCTTCCGTTTCAAATCCTCCAACCTTTTTACCCCTTACATTTCGAACTTTTCTTAGCCTTTCCAAGGTTTCAATATCGAAAAGCGCAGGACTTTTCGTCCAGAACAATGAAGCGAAACCAATCCGCATTAATATGGTAAAATACATCTGAATTGTCTGTTCTCTAAAAATAGTATGGAGTCAAAGGGTCCAGTGTTTCGAGATCCAAGGTTGTGTCTCGGAGTGGAGCTTTGATGTAAGCGAATCATGCGTTCATCTCCCCCCCCTCTTCAATCTTTGACTGCAAACTTAATTAGGAGAAAATAACGGAAATAAATATCCCAAAAGTTCCAGTGGGTAGGAACGTAATATAATTGGTATCGTATTCCTTCCTTCGGTGCCCCATCTATATCTCACAAGAACATCCATCTATGCGTTTTATCTTCTGCAAGCTCGTAAGGACGAGCATGAGTTTCCTTTCCATTCCATGCCCTTTCTCCCCTTTTTTATATATACAAACTCCTCTTCATCTAACCGTCCACTCAATGGTCATGACCAAATTGCGTCAATAGAGGGATCAACATTCCCCCTACCGCCGCGAGCGTATCTCTCATTTGAGGTTTCGCTTGTTTACGTTGTGAGATGCCGTCCAGATACCCATTAGAATTTGTGTGTTCATGGGAATGTATCCCCGAATCTTCTTGCATAGCATGCATCGCGACATATCTATTTACTGGTTGTTAGCCCTGTCCGCCCTAGGTTCGTTGGGAAAGAATTAGGGATTGCTCACAGAAAAGTTCCACCAGAAAACAATAATAGCATTCCCGTCCACCATTGTCCTTTGGCTCCCTCGATATTACCACCACCGAGAATATTTACTAATAGAAACGTCGTGATGGCACCGAATGGAGCTGCGAGACTGAAAACTATGAGATGACCACGTGCTGCTCGTTTCGAAAGTCCTTGCTTCAGTAAGACGGATGTAAGTCCAAAGGCGGCAGGCGCTTTATGGACCATGATTGCAATAAAAATGATAAACCCTAGTTTCGTGTTGGATGTAGAGGCGGATGCGCCCATAGCTATTCCATCTGCCGACGCATGTATTACAAGCCCTGTCGTTGTAGCCAGACTACGACTTTGCTTCGGGCTCGGCGTGAGTGATTGGAAAAAGCCGTCTGATTCTTCATCAGACGAAGAGATGTTTGATATTCCTTGAGATAGATTGTTGAGGGATATTTGCCTTGGACCTACCGGGGCCTGTAATTTCTCGGAAGCATGTCTTGGAACCTTGTCAATTAAGAACATAAGGATGAATCCCAAAATTAGTGATAAACCAATCCAAAATGTAGGTGATTCGTCCTCGCCGTGATGCACATCGCTTTCACCCATGAGTTTCTCCTTCGACTTTTCTGGTGCACTATCTTCCTTTTCCTCTGCCAGAGTTTCCCTGGTGATAATCTCAACTTCTACGGGCTGCGCAGTCCTCGAATTCTGCTGGGCATGTCTTCGGTTGACAATTGCTTTGTTCGAGTATGCGATTGTGTTGACTCCACCAACCCATGAAAGCTCAGAGCTTCTCTCTTGAACCTTCATACTCCGTGCTCCATGAGTATGTGCCGGAGATCCTGCAGTATATACTGCTTCAATTCCTTCGGGTATAATAACAACCAACGAAGTCCCGACAAGTACTCCCATACCAATCGTAGATATTAATCGAAGTTGGGACGGCGATAAGGTCATAGATAATGGAATTGCTCCAGCAAGAAAACAACTAAACACTTCGTCAGCATATAAAATACAAGTTTTGAGTAGGGAAATTACCTCAAACACATTATCACGCTCAAAATGAGCAGCATAAATAAACCGTCGAACATCGTGAATACCCTCTATTTGCACCTTTAAAATCTACGTCGCAATCCTATAAATACCAGATCAAAAGGGATATCACCACTTCATTTCGAAACCAGAACCACAATAGGTAGAGAGGAGACAAGACAATTTATTAAATCCTCGGAAAAGCAGGTGAAAGATAGTTTTTACCAATGATTGCGCACTCCCACTCCCTTTATAAAGAAATAAATTCGTCACTCCGGGATGACAGATTTGGGGTCTTAACTCAATGCACGAACGAGGCTGAACCACCAGATTGAACTAAACTAAAATAATAATTAGAGAGTGCCACAACGTTAAGTAATTTTGATTGGAAATCCCTGTAACTTCTGGGGAGAAAACGCGTCTCGGCGGAAAATCACTCTACTCCCTACGCGATTTATCAAGCTATGGTGAAGCTTTGAACCTGTTAAGGTTACAAGAATATTCACAATCGGTCTCAATTGACAACGACAATCAATCAACAGACCTATCTACCTTTCGCATTCACAGGAACAGCAAAACCACTGTCGCAAAGATGGCTGAAATCGATTCCGATTGTAGGTATTCTCAATTTCCTCCACCCAGAGCTTTTTTTATTGTTCCAGTCGATCGGTCGTGTTCCTCACAAAAAATGCTTTCTATTGCTTCCCCCCGATGCTCCGTGTGGAATCAAATGCGCCGACGAGCAATACTCCACGAAGATCAATTTCATACCTCATAGAAGCTAACGTAATGAAATACAGGGTCGTCCGATTCAAATGAGGCCATTTACATCTCCCTTGTCACCCCCAGCACAGAAGGCTTAACCTCACTTCACATCTTCAATCCAAAATTCACATATCCCATATTCGGGGATGAGGAATCAATATTCGGATATCAGGGATTGAGAATCAACTTAAAATATAATGCCTGTGATATGCGACCTGGCCTCCAAATTACCTACAACAAGAAATTTAGAGCAGTCGGTGATATAGAACCAACAGACCTGAAGGCAGTGCTGGAACCATTCTTACCCAAGAGTATGTTCGCTTCTCCAAAGCTCCCAAAACTCTTGCTAACATCAGCACAGCTGCTTTTGAAAAATCAAGTGTTTTTGAATCGCATATTTCAGCTACTCCAGCAGATTGGCATCCACCAGGAGAACTCTTTCGCTCAATTGAGGTCGGTGGAGAAATATTCGAAATATGGAAAGGCAATCTCTCGGATCCCGTTATTCAACAAACCATCAAGCGTGTGCAAACTCTAGTCCCATTGTTTATTGAAGGGGGAACATTGCTTGATCTTGATGAATCGGAAGATGATCTTGGACGTTGGACAGTGTTCTTCTTGTACCACAAGAAGCCAGCCGCAGCCTCATTTTTTGAGAAATCTTCATCCTACATATTCATGGGCTTTTGTACTGTTTATCGCTATTTCGTGTATACGCCCGCTACTCCTCCACAATCCCCCAATGGCGACAAAATAACTCCCGAGTTTACAATCCCTGTTGATGGTGTATCGTTTAACACTCTTCCATGTCGCTCAAGGATATCGCAATTTCTCATTCTACCCCCTTTCCAAAGCGGGGGCAAAGGATCACTATTCTATAATGCTGTATTCGACTACTTATCTAGTGACCCATATACAAGAGAAATCACAGTGGAGGATCCGAATGAAGCATTTGATGATTTAAGAGACATCAACGATTTAGGTCGTTTACTCAAAGACGAACGTTTCCTTAAACTAAAACTGGACTCAAAGTTGAAAATCAACCCTAAAGGTCCAGCACCAGCCAAACTCTTTGACACCGATGCATACGAGAAGCTACGAATGCAATTAAAAATCGCCCCTCGACAATTCGCTCGCCTTCATGAAATGTATCTCCTATCTATAATACCCCCGTCCGCCAAAGCAGCCCTTTTGCGAGACACGGGAAAACCTCAAAAGTCTCTCCCACCTCCCAGAAAAGAAGATGAACACATCTATTATCTCTGGCAACTCCTCGTGAAACAACGTCTCTATCGTCACAACAAAGATGCATTGGCACAATTTGATCGTGGAGAAAGAATTGATAAATTAAACGAAGCTTTAATGGGCGTAGAAGCTGATTATGGAAGATTGATTGAGATGGTTGAGGAGAGAATGGAGATGGATAAATCGACTGCCGTTGGAAAGGGGAAGGGAAAGAGTGTGGCTAATGGAAATGGAAAGAGGGCTGCTAGTGAGGAGGACGAGGAGGATGGTGAAGATGAAGATGAAGATGAAGATGAAAATGAGGAGCCTTTGGCTAAGAGGTTGAAGTTTGCTTCTTGAATAGCATATGTGGTAATATGATTGGTATAGGATGGAAGAGGCACGTGTACTAAAAGTGATATCGTAAAGCGGTACTCACTATATCATGGAGTTCGGGTGTGATTGAATTTAGGGATGATATCAGGGAATGCTTGAAATCTTTGGTTTTCGGATGGGAAAGAATAAATCTGGAGAGAGAGATTGAACATTAGAGTCAATTAGTTCAACTTAAAAAATCAGCACACAACGAAACTCAAATGAAAATGTTTCCAATAGTTATTTGCGCAAATAATTTCGATATTCCCAGTTCCCTGAATTTTCCCATTTCATTTTGTCCAGCTATTTTTCCATTCCTCTCACCCATTGCTCATAGCTAAATACCAAGCCCAATCGTTCAATCTCGTGAAAACCCAGACCCTCCTCCCATCAACCCCCACATCTCCCTTTCCAAGCTGCCCCGCTAAAACCGTCGCCTCCCTCACTGCTCTCGCTACCGTCCCTCTAACTCTTCCCTCCTCAAGCACCAACAATCCCTCAATCGTACATCCACCTAGGGTACTCACTTTATCCCTCAGAAGCGCAGGATTTTCACCTGAAAGAACCAAACCAGCTGCTCCACGCATAGTTTGCGCCGCCAATTTCTGCGTTTCTGCTCGCGGGAGTCCCATCGCTACAGCACCGTCTATGGTGGCCTCAAGCATCAATGCGAAAAACGCCGGGCCGGAACTACAAAGAGCAGTACACGCATCCAAGGTTGAAGGAGGCAGAAAAATATTATCACCGATGCGTATGAAAATCCAGGTTAAAAGCGCAGTTGTCCATTCAGGAAGGGGAGGAGTAAAGGTACTTATTACCGTCATCGATTCTCGGATTTGGGAAGCGGTATTGGGCATGGCGCGGACGATAGTGCAGGGGTCAGAAGCGGATGCGAGGTCGGTGAGATCTTTTGTTGTTCGGCGAAGAGCAAGGTTTGGAGTTGCTCGATAGGCACACCGGCGCAGATGCTGATTAGGAGTTTACCGGCTAAAGCTTGTGCCATGCCGGGCTCGGATAGGATCTCGTTTATTGTATAGGGTTTTCAGGCTGGGAGGATGATAGCGGCGCGCTGCACGGCGAGGACATTCTCGTTTTGGAGGATGACGATGTTGGTTGTGAGGAGATGGGAGGACAATGCTTGTTGTACTTTTTTTTGTGAATTCGGGGCGACGGTCGCAGGCGATGACTTTGAAGGGGGGAAAGGTGGGTGCCTCGTTTGGGTAGGCGGGAGTTGAGGTTCCTGATGTGGTTAGAGGAATGGGGTTTGGGGTTTGAGGAATATTGAGTGAGCTAAGTATTCCAGAGAGAATTCCTATACCCATTGTTCCTACACTGAAGTATCAGTTTGGATCTGTCTTTTGATCCATGTTCTAGGTGCGGCTTCCAAGGAAAGTTAAAAACATGAGAGACATTTATCCACAAATTATTGGTATACTGAACAGATGTGCATGAAAATCAAATTTGGCCTCTAAGATATTATTGTCCAAGTGATTTAGTTGATAGATACAGGAATATAGTAAAGTGTGACATGAATATAATTTCTCTGCGCATGTGGGAGAGGTACATATTCATATCTCGTCCCAGAGCCTACAAGAACAGGTACGGACGACTGATGGCTCCTACCGTACTTGACAGGCACGCCACCGTCTCCAAAACAATAAATTGATCCAATCTGGCAGTGTAATTTTCTCTCGAACTCATTGCTCCTCTAGTCAATCAAAGAGGTCCAGAAAAAAACAAACACACAAACATACCACAACCAAGAACTGTCAAGGTCATTTCTGATTCCGTATGTTCAATTAAAGAACTCATATTGATTATCTCTTTCTTCAATCGGAGTTGTTATCAAAGTAAGTAATTCAAATATATTCTCGAAGTATCTTCTTGATATATATCTCCTGTTTGCAATATTGAGATTCTAACCTTGAAGTCAGAAGTCATACAAAGCTCCCTCCCCACCACACCCAATCCCACCAAAATACTGCCATCGCCCCACCGCCAAAATCTCACCCAATAGAGTATAGTGCTTCAAAACTACATCATGGATACCACCAGACCAGCTCCACTGCGCAACAGTGAACTTCTCAATTCCATTGAAGAGTCGCCTTTTCGCGCAAATTTACCAGATCCTATACCAACCAAGCCGCTCAAAGCGAAGGTTAAGCCATCGCAAGAAGAGATGGATCCCTTCGAAGTGCGCATTCGCTTTACGCAGTATTTGCAACATCTAAATGCGAGTGTTACGAGTGCGAATAAGACGGCACAGTATGCGTTGAAATATAGGGATATGGATGAAGATTTGCATAGTTGCATTCTGGAACAACTGGAGAGAGTACGTCTATAAATTTCTTGTTTTGTGTCGAGAGATTGGATCTGTGGGAATCAAAACGAAGGAAGCGTGTTTCTGAAATTTTATGGTAGCGACTTGGGTTGAAAATAATGTAGCTGACTTGAAATACAGAATTCTATGAACAATAGAGCAAACATCATGTTTTTCATCGAAATTTTATGCGATATGGCATCGAGAGAAGGACACGATGATTATGTACGCATGATGCAAAGAGATATCTTACGGGTCGTTGATGCAGTTGCGCCAGAAGATGGATCCGGAGCCGCCAATGTTAAAGTAGTGCGCAAAGTTCTCCAAGGCCTTCAACAAAAATCCTTCCTCCTACCTCAAACTGTTACGGAAATCGAAGAATGTCTCAAGGAACGCGATACCCAACCCGACGTACTCATGTCTTCTCCGCCCGCAAACGAAGCCAATGGAAATGGAACTTCACAACATGCTACGCCTAAACAGGCTAAACCGAATGGGGTCGGGAGATTGGATAAGAGACAGATTGAACAGAGAATCGAAGAGGATCGCGAGAGACATAAGAGATTAAGAGAACATATCTGGGCTGTACCGGCCTCGGGACCTAACTCGGAGTTCGATAAATTGTGGGATGAAACGAGTGATTTGGGAGATGATGATATGGATTTATATGAAGAAGAATCTATGGAGAGAAAAGAGGCTGGAAGAGAATGGTTTAATGAGCAAGTTCATAAAAGTAGACTTGAGGGTCAAGCTTAAGTGGAGAGTTAGTTTTCTCCGGTCATGGCGTTATATTGCATTATCTGGCGGCGTTCGTGCATTGGCGTTCTACGGTCATTCAGGTATACCGGGGATCTTTATGTGGTATGTACTTGGACGGCGTAGTTATATATAGGTTTGAGGACTTTTGCATCGCGCGGCTATGTAGTTTTATGTGCTTATTTGTATGGACAACGTTGAGGAGTTGGCACATAAAAATGTGGTAATATCATTCTGTTTTACAGAGATCTTGTGTTGACAATTCATCTCTCAATACGGAAACAGGGCACATGGGTCCAACATCATGGCAACTGTTATGTTCAATAAGCATTTTGTCAAGGTTATCTTGATTGCCACTATAAACTTTTCATTCAATCCAAAGTTTGGAAGCATCTGAAAACATGGATTTTCATCGTGGCATACAGTGTGTCTCCTTGGGAAATAATCATCTTTGCATCTAGCCACAAATTCCGCCTATGAATGTCACATCTTGGATAGAATTTTCTCTATCAAAACTCCTTGTCGCTGTGTATTCCAAGATTTCAAGATTAACTTACAATGACGACTTGACCACCTCAACCCTCGCATTTGCAGTCGCAGGTCAAATAATTCTTAATGTATATCGGCTTAAGTATGTGGGCGAATAGTCGACAAATAACAAATAACAAGCACTAGCTTCTCCTTAGTTTTACTAGCGAAATTCTCCCCACCTTCGAGGCAGAGAATTTCACGCTTTAAGGTTTGGGGTTTCATGAGAAGATAGTTCAAGAATACATGCTTTTTTGTTTATTTGAAAGAAGTTTTGGTGTTCTAAAGAACCTTGCTAGAGTGTGGTTAGTAGCTCTTTTGTAGTACTCCAGTGGCCCTTTTTAGGGTCCAGAGGGTGGTAGTTTATCTAAGATGGTTAGTTAGAAAGTTCTATAGACGATGTGTTACGAATGCCCTGGGGTTTCTAAGCAGAGAAGAAATGAGTCACAAGGGATGAATGTTTTGATTCTGGTGAGACTTATTTTTTTTGCATATTATGTCTAGCTGAGTACTGACCAACACACACAATGCGCGGGTAGTTTGCCTTGTACGTATATGGATTGGAGATTCGATCATTCAAGCTCATTGGATCACTCAGATATAGTGGGAAATCGACTAGGAATCATTTTGTTTGGGGTTGGTTAATGGCAATCCCGCACCCATAAGTTATAAAATCACTTTGGTAGTGAAGATTCTCATCTTTTGGTTGTTTCAATGACGTATGTTATTTTTGTACATCTCGTATGTGTGGGTATGTATAACGATCGTTCCTATTACATGAAGAAATAAGTTATCGTCTTTCGCATCAATCAAAAACTGAACCCTCAATATATAACTTATTCCTAGCATCAAAAATCATTGGATAGATTCAGAGCTGCTAGCGAGCTCGTTTCATAGATTCCTAGCCAAATGGTCTAAAGTTGGTCTACATGAGGTAGACTGGGAATTATTTTATAAGCGGTGTTCTGTCTTTGATCTTCTGCTAGAGCCTGAATTTTGAACTAAATTCATTATCTTCGCGATCCCCTTTTTCTTTCTATTTGTATTAGTAGATGACTCAGGAACTGAGGAGTCACTGAAATCTTCGTCGTAAGAATATCGAGAGTATTGTCTTGCAGGAGGTGTGAGTTTCGATGAAGAACTAATAGTCACATCTGGGCACGTTGCTTGCAGGTAGTTACTGGCTTCGATGAAGCTGGCTTCCTCAACGAAGGTGCTGTGTCTGATGTTGAGTCTGGTGCTTCATTGCTTCGTCTTCGAGAGGGATATTGCGCTTGTGAGATCTCAGATGACCTTTCACGACCAGTATGTGAGCGCGGCAATAATTCATCACACAAATTCAAACACCTTCCAAAGTGCTATAGTCATATTTCGCTTTCTCCCATTGGTTTCTCAACGCTCGACGTTCCCTGTCTTTACCGGTTGCGTTTTTAAGATAGTCATTTATACGCTCGTATAGATTATACCGGCAGTTACTCGGCGATTTAGCAGGTTTTACTGAAATTGTTGCTAGGAATTCTTTACGCTGTTTATCTAATTTATCAAGAGCTTCTTGGGCCTGTCGATCGCCTTTTTCTAACTCCGAAGCTGTAGGCTGTAAGTAGTGGCGGAATGTATCAAGAAGCGCTAAAGCAGGTAATTCAAATAAAAGCTTCCCCAACCATGCTTCTCGTGAAGTTCCATTTAGTTTTAGCAGGTCATCGACACGTTTAAGGGAATTACTGTAGCCATCACCAGCATTAACTTCACAAACCGCTTTACGCATCGCACTTCTCGCTTTGGTGAGGATTTTTGCTCGTTTTTTCTCAAGTTCTGATTGTCTATCACGCAGCAATTCTTTCACTAGACCCGAGAGTTTAGATTTGCTTTTACTGAACTCCCATTCTTTTTGCTCGATTCCATAAAAGTTTAACTCATCAAAGATCTTGCTATCACGATCACGGTCGTAATTTGTTTCATCCTGATAAGGGCGACGGATTTTACAATTGCGCCATTGATGTAGAAGATGGGAATAGCTTTCGTATCGAGCTTCGTGTACGTTACACATCTCCTTATGGAGTTTGAGTTTGTAAGTCCTTGCAGCTAACCATGCCCAGAAATTTTCAGCTTTGAATCTCTACCCAAGATCTCTTGTCAGTATTTATTATTTGAAGTTTATGAGTAAGTACTTACTTCATGCGCTGACCACTCTTCCTTTCCATCTATAGAGATCATCGTGTTCCAAAATAGCTTACCAAGGATTCCAAAATCCGATTTATCAAGAGGATCGTTTACAGAGCCGCACATAACACTAAACCATCGCTCGGTAAACTCACACAGAAGAGTATAATCCCAATTTACAGAAGCCTTACACCGGTTATTGAGAAGATTGACTCGAACACAATTCTTGTCGTTCACACCAAATACAAGTCTCGCAACCTCCACAGCTTTTTGGGGACTATTTTCGGAAAATTCCCCAAGTAATATCACTGATTGACCGTGTTTTTCTTCTTCGTCTCGAAAATGATAATAGTGGTGCGTGTTACGTTGAAGGGCTGATTTGTAAAACAAGATAGCCAGGACCTGGTGGATTAAACTACCTTTGATACATTTGCAATGAGGAAACTCTTCCAATTATATAATTGTGGCGGGCCATTTCAGAATGCTTGCAAGAAAATTTTATCTTCGAACATTGGCTTCGACATGCACCTCAGCAAACATGTAAATTAGCAAGATAGCAAGATAGCGGAATTTGCTAAACGATAAGCTGTAGATAAAGACATTGGAGGTTGAGTTGAGGGTCTCGAACATGACCTGCAACGCTTTTTGCAACCCCATAAAATCAAAATTATGGTCATGGTAGGACGACAAACGGCAAAATACATTTGAAGTCGAAATGCTGATAACTTTTGGTTAGAAGATTGCAATAAGGCAAATGACTTACATACTAGAACGGCTTGGATAAATAAAGATATTAGACTCTATTATTTGCAATAATTATTGTCGAAATTTATTTGGGCTAGCGAGTAGACCGAATCGGCTATTTTCTGGCCGGTAAATTAGCCGAACCCCATGAGAGGCTCGGTTCTGAGTGATTTGCCCGCTCGCACTTATCTATTATATGGCAGCAAGAATGAATATGCAGCTATGAATCTTTGGTCTGGGATTTCCGACTATTAAGAGACTGATAATAGAAGTTGTTATCGTGAAGTAGTTCTACACTTAATATAGCTGCAGTGTACACTCGTAATAGTTTTCCTGGTTTGTGCTCTTATTTTTTCGGTGGAGATTTGGGCCTTGTTGGGTTGAGAGGAAGAGAAGGTCTACTATCTTTGGTATTACCATCGAAAAAGGCTCGGATTTGATTAGTAATTTAGTAATGCATCGAAAATTCTTAGAAATATGATCGTGCAATACTAGTCATTCACTACGAGGTCAAATATCAGAACCCCTAGGGCGGAAAACGCGATATCGTATTGAGACATTTCTGTTTTTCCCATCCCACTATACGTCTAATACCCTCAATCTCTCAATATACTTTGTCAAATTGTCAATATTGTGATCATATATGTAGGATTCGTCATTCATAAGCTTGTCACTATCATAATCATCGAGGATCAATCACCCCGAGGCTATCGACAAACAGCCTCCGTATCTCTGAGCAGCTCATTTTTGGGTCAATTGTTAGTGAATTTACAACTCTGTGGAAAGAATCTGAAGACCGAAGCATCGCTTAACGAGACATCAAAACGGAACATCAAATGAGAAAGGACGGCTATTAATGAAACACTTTGAACAGAGAATATTCCTTTCTTCTTGTGGTGATGGGTATTCAATAGCTTGGCTCTTCTCGGCTGAAGCATTTGTATATGATAGAAGGTGTATAAGTGCAACGCATTCATTATATTCTAGAAACTCAACTCGATCGGAAATTCGGGGCTTTATTCCAACCGTGCTATCTTCTAGCCAGACTCCTTAGCCTACCCAGCATCATTCTTCAGTCAATAGCCCGGACATTTTGGCTATATCTTCTCCCATTTTACGTAACTCAGCATTAAGTTTGTCTCTCCGAATCGAACTATCTTGATGATCTGCATCAAAAAAATCACATAATTCAAAATCGCGATTCGCCTGTGCTCGGAGCTTGGACGTCACCAACCCGATAAGTCTACGCCTCAGCTGCTCAACAGTTTCCTGATCCTTATCATGTTGAAGACGAAGTCTCTTCATTATGTCAACAAGATCCGTCTTCGCCTGTTCAAACTTTGCTGAACTATCCTGCTTGTATGGACGGAGAAGCTCGAAATTCCTGACCAGTTTGTCGACCTCATCTAGTGATATGTCAGGACAATTTTCTTTCGTATGTATTACAACAAAAGAAAATAAAAACCTACCGGCTAGGAAGTGTCTGCTGGGTCTAGAAACAACAAACATGTCGCTAATTTGTGAGTGCAGCTCTTACAATGTAGACCTGTTGATATGGCACTGACAAAAGCAGCTTTTTATTTTGATAGAGGGTCAAAGTTGGATTAAGGAGGTATATAGATTTCCTATTTACTGAAGTCCGCAAAGAATAAGACATATAAACACCGGAGCGTTTCCACAACAGTTGTGATTTAATTTGAGAGAAAGCTTGTAAATTTCAGTGTCTGATGTGCAACTGTTTCTGAGATTTGAGCATAGGTTTGGGGGGAGTTGGAACTTATTTAATACGTTCTTAGAGTGTTATTGTATGATTAAATTAAGGATTTGATTCGAATCATAGCATCTCGATCATATCATAATTCGACATTAAAATCACCTCCCCTCAAATCATGCGGCAAATCGCGTTAAGAGCACAGTTTTAAGTCAGCGCATGATAGATTTTTATGTCATTTCTGTCAATCCTACCAGTTTAGTCACTTAAAACCGAATATTGTTACTCCTATGATAGACCTACAATACCTATGAGCTCTAACACAACGACTAACTCACCCGTGTAAAGTCAGCGTTCTATGGGCTGCTAGTTTGAGTCTTCGAGTTTCAAAATTTGTGTCACAATCATATTACATATGGGACAGCGAAAGGTTTACTGGAATGCGTTCTATTTTAGAAGCTCGTCTAGTTACTGGAAAAGTCAGGCTTTCTGCTCCACAACAAAATTCATCACTTGTATTCTTTAGCATTTGCAGCTCCAAACTTCACCAAAGTGTCAAGACTGTGAGGGATTGAGATAGGTCTGAGGTGCAGCTTATGTGGAAGAGAGGCTAGGATCGACAAGAACCTCGATCGGGAGCAACGCCTCTGTAGTACTTATTTATGACTGGTTTGATCCTGTATGCCTGCATACCATGGCCTGGCTTTAAGCGCTTGATCAATATATCCAGATATGCTCTATCTGTGAACAAACTCCACATTCTGATCATTCCCACACCTTCAAATTTCTCGGATTTCTTTTGCACAGCACCCTCCAGAAGGTTCTTAATGATTTGATGGTCTCTTCCGTTCAGAGGAGCTCCAGCTTGTCCCGACTTTATTTCCCAATCTTGGCTAGATCTAAATTCAATCTCTTTCTCAAGCACTTTTTTTCGCGGTTCAAGGAGTATTCGTCGCGCAAGATTTCCTCCCTTAGCTCCTCGACACCATCATGACAACTGCGACGAGCTTCATAGTACAAGCTGTCCGGGACATCTTTGAGATCCCTTATCAATCGTAACAAGCCAATAATACGACCTGATGAGAAGTCAGCATTGCTTTGTTAAACAGAGAGTGTGTGATACTTTACTTGTATATTTGGTATGTTTTATGTATTCAGACTGGGGCCCGAGTCCGGACATGAGTGCTTCGAAGCTCAAATCGACAGATGGAATATCAGGCATATGTATATTTGTTGGGAAAATAGACATTAAATAGTGTAGTTCAGAGAGAGATATCGAACTTTGAGGCTGAACAAACAAAATTCGATGATGTAAGAGCGAAATATTGATGAACCGAGAATTGTGACTGGAGATGACCAAATGTTGTTGCGCTTTGGTTCCTATTGAGGGGGTCAATGAAAATTATGGCGTGTTATTTTGTGAGCTTTCGATTTGATGTTTGGTGTTTGATGATCAACTGTTTCTGGATATTGGAATTAAAGCAGACGGGGATTAATAGTATTTGTGCTCTCTTGAGCCCCTTAAGAGGAATCTCCAGTCATTCCAAATCACTGTGTCATTCAATAAGAAAGGCAATTTGAGTCACATTGTGCCTCATAAACCTCCTAAAACCTTCAAATGATTCCTCAAAGAGACCCCTTTGCGATTCGAATCATACTTCATAATATTCTTAAATGTCTTTCGAAATGATAGTGCCATCAATTCTGCGTAAACATCGAAATCACAGAATCAAATAAGTTTGTTCTCAAATCATATGATACAAAGAGTCACATTTTAATAGATCAATTTGATCGAGGTTGGACTAGAATGGATGCTATTGTAGAAGCTAAACCAGTATAAAAATTCAGGCTATTTGTTTGATTAGTAAAATCCTCCACCTAGATACCTTCGCCCGTCTCATTCAGTCCTCAGCTAACTATCATAGACGCACGGAGGGAAGGAAATCTATTAATCTTCGTCATAATGTGAAGGGAGTGTCAAGTGACTATCCTTCTCCTCATCTTAATGCTACTGATAATAACTGTTGAGTACTCTTTCGCAAGACTGCACATGCTCTTTACACTTTCGACGCTTATCTGGAAGCTTTGTCTGGTATGAAATAAGAATACAACACGCAGTGTTATGCGACAATTGAGCAGCTTTATATCCTTCACTACTCGGTGGATGCTGATTCAATATACTCAACTTGACAGCTTCCACCTCTTTCTGTCTTTCCTCCTTCTCACTGATCTTGACTCGCTCTGCATGGATACTCCTGTTCAATTCACGAATGATCTTTTTCTTTAGATTGTTAATAAATATGGCACGGTCCAAACTTGACTTTCGTTCAAGATTGCAGTCAATTTCATCAAGCTTCTTGAGTTTTGCGTACACATCGTTGAATTCTTCATCTCACCCCGCTAGTATCAGGTCAGTATGGCTATTTCCCTATTCCAGGATTGTTGAAGAATACTGACGGAGGTCGTTGGGTGTTACAATCTTAGAGAGTTTGAGCATAATGATGATCGGAATCAGAATAGATATTGAGTGGTCGGTCTTGTGATTCTTTGAAAGTGGCACTGATGCTGGTGTATGATTTTGAAGTGGCAGGCTGAACGAGTTTGGTACTTCTCAAGAATCTCTGGGGGTTGTGGTAGTCTTATATATATTTCGAAATGGCAATGCCATCGATTTCAGATCAATATTGGAATCATGAATTAAGAAATCTTGTCATCAAATCATCTTATACACAAGTCCCAATTGACAGATAATTCAATAAAGGTTGGGCTAGGATTCATTTGATTGGAAAAACTCGGCTAGTCTGTAAAATCAGGCATTCTGCAGTACAAACAGATCCTCCACTCAGGCTTTCTAGCAGTATATTTCGGTAATTGATGTCACACTGTCTCCCCAACTGCAAATTCTTCCGCTCACCCCCTTAATACATCGAGTGGACCTATCTATATCAAAAGGCTGTCATACTCTTCAAATCTTTATCGATAGCAGCACTATGGCCATCTTGCTTGTCGAAGTTCTCCACCCCAAATTGATACAGTATTCATACTTGTACTTAAACTTTCCTGCTGACGACTCAAAACTTCGATTTCCGCGAGAATCTCTCCAAGCATATTGTCACGCATGACTTCCATTCGACCTCCGCCGGCTGAAGGACTACTGATTTCCTCTTTCAATTCATGGATTCTTCCCTCAAAACTTGTATATTCACTGCGGAGACAGTCCAATAGATATCGCAATCTTCCCTGCAGATTCGCATGAATTTCTCGGCGATTAGGGTGGTCCAACCGCAGACTGCTGAAAGATTCCATTTCTACTCTCTCGGAATCGATATCTTCTAAAAATACGGTCAGTATACTTTTATCATAAGATGTTATGACAGGAGCCTACCTGAAAATCTGTGTCTTGGACTGTAACATATGGACATGATGATGGTTCGTAACAGTGAAAATGGCTCTGAAAGGTCGATCAATGGCGATGGCTTCTGAGATATAAATCCGAAAGTAGTTATATACAACTCGTTGGACAAGAAGGCGGATGGATGGATGTGGAAGTACGTTAGGGATGGTAAATATATTTGATTTATTGATGAGAATCTATGTTTGTTTTGCCTTGCACTTGATCTTTGCTTTCACTCTCAAGACTCGGCTTTGATTTCTAAACTTCCGCCTCAAGGGAAAGTCCAAGACTTTTTAAGCACTCCAAAGCAACTCCAAGCTCCCTCAAAATCATTTTACCATTGACTCTTAAATTGTTTCTCGGGTGACTTGTCCTCGAATAATGCCCAGAACCGGCTTATAGTTCGACATTCGACTCATTATCCTGGTGTATTTCGCAAGAGAATCTGAACATTCACCATTTCCAGCCACGATTTATTTGGAAAGAGCTTATATCGAGGTAATTCTGGAGTCATGATCCAATTTTCGAGAAATCGTATCGAAAATAGACTTGAAAATTAGACCTCCAGTCACGTTTTCCCATATTATACACGCAAAAAAAGTACGAAACGTCGAGGTGTATCTTTACTCAAATCACACACCATAACAAGATAAATTTCGAGACTTCGAATCATCAAATCAGCTTTCTTCTCTCGAATGATGCTTTGTATAAAATTACCTTCGAGTCATTCCCGAAATCAAAAATCCTAGTTTCAGACTTGATAATTAATCATACCCATAGTCAACTATGACTCAAACTTTCTCAAGTCATAATGTAATCTTAAAAGCATCACTAGATCACAGTAATAATAACAGAGGTACCTCCACCATTTCTAGAATAACCCCAGTCTCATTCACACGCCAACACAACCCTCAACTCATCAACACCTATCAAAAGATTAGCCCGCCTTCCCCTCTCCAGCTTTCCAACTTTCCTCCATATTCCACCCCCTCGGCGAGATATCTTCCTCCCATTCAAATCCCTTCAATCTCGTCGCGCCCACAGCATCCCAAAACCAAACCCAATCTCCAATTCTCAAACCATTCAAACCCCCGAAACATCCGAAGCTCACCCCATCCATTGAAAACTCAACCTCTCCATCTATCCCACCAAATCCTCATGCACGCAATAAAATACCCAACATCCAAAACCCCCATCCAAACCTCTGTACCTGACAAGCTCACACCCATTAAAACACCAGTCCACACGAAATCCAAGATCGTAAAAGAAACCAAAGAACTGTACGACCTACCATTCTTACAAACATACAAATCTGATAAACTCCCGTCCGAATTCCCAAGAAATTCGATACCCTATTTCAACACCCACTCCTCCCTTCCTACCAAATTTTAATTCAGCGAAACCACCAAACCTCTCAATGAGAGCAACTACTCCCAGATTATGTTCTTATTACATCTTTATCACATCCTTCCATCCTCATCCTCCCATTCTCATCCTACAATCTTCACAAGATATATATACACTAATCTATCAAACACTACCATAACACAATACAATACCCGTTCATCTTTCCCTCCCCCCTAAAAAAAAGGGGGGGGCACGGTATCACACCCACGCGGACCCCACCAAAACCACTCTTTAGCGAGTCACTATCTACGTACCCATACCCATATACCTACTAGGTACACAACACAGCGATCACTTACCCAGCCAATCAACCCTAAGAAACTTTCCGAGGTAATGTTAATGAAACAATAGCGAGTAGCGCTACCTACCTACTTGTGCACGCGTTAGCGATCACTCATTACTCAATACATCCCTCATACCTCACACCTCACAATATGTATCCCAATACCTATACCCCTATACTAATCGTCCCACATACATCACATCATTACACCAGCAAACCACCTACTACATTACTTTCAACAGCATATTCAAAACCAAACCCTAATACTAAAATAAAGAACTTCATTATAATTTCAATTCATGATATATAAATGTCCCCCCTCTTTCCCCCCCATCCCCCCAAAGTCTTCCACCCAACAAAACTACCCATGACGATATCCATGCCATATAATTATTCTTCAATTCAACGAACCCAGCATACTGAAATAAGTAGAAGGAAAACCCTAGGAAGAAAAAAACCCCTAAAATAAAAAATAAACCGTAAATGATAGGAGTAGAATACAAGAAAATACAGGTAGTCAAGTATAAACCCGATCATAACAGTCATAACCTTCGTAGCTCTATTAAGCTTTTGTTCGTTTCTTTCATCATGAATCCCTTTTTCATGTATCATCGTGTGGGTATTGGGTATGGCATTCCGATCCATCCACGTAAATAAAATAACAAAGCCTTCCTACCAAAACCAACGATATTCTTTTTTCCCAAAAATACGCCTGATGTCGTGTCGTCCAAAAATTCCTAAATAAAATAACGGAAGCATTATGCAAATAGTGTAATAAAAAAGAATCCCCAACCATCATCTCATAGTACAAACCAAGATCCGACCTATCCACCTCATCAAAATTCCTGTCTTTACCATTCGATAATGGACTATCCCAAAGAATATAAAAAGCATGCCTTCATGCCTAATTCCTTCCTGGTATCTGATCATAATTCATTTACTACGTCTCGAATACTCCATCTCCAAGAGTTTCCTTCAGTATTACGTGCGGCGCCGATCCATTTCTCACATTTTCTCCTCCAGCGGTCTTCTTCTTCTCTCTGTCGCCTAACAAATTCTGGACCGACATCAAACTCTTCACCAACAAGCCAATCGCTGAGACCACTGGCGCCTTCACCTTTCGAACCCGAGACTTCATCAGACTCCTTAGAGGGCCCTTCCTCAAGATCAGGAACATCCTTAAAGACATCATCCTCATCATCGAGCGCATCAAATCCATCCATGGTATCACCAGATTCGCTTTTTGCTCTTTTGTTGTCCCCTGGCATTTTAAGCCAACACATACGCTGCGGGTCAAAGACCATTCCGCCAACGACTTGGACATTCTGGGCAGAGTTTATATTGGTGATGAGCGCAGGACGAGGTGTCGAGCATTCTTTTTCCCGATAAATTTGCGGTGCTGTCGCTCTTGGTGTCTGTACAGGTATTGAAGCTGTCGGGGTTGCAGAAGCTGGCATATCAAAGGCCGATACTTCAATCTCGTTTCCTTCCCATCGGTAGTTAACCGGATCATATTGCATTCCCTTTACAGCTACAAAGAAAGATTAGTGGTAGTTTAAAAAGCAATGCGGAGGGTATACGTACATCTGGGATTGTTTACATTTCCCATGGGCTTAATAAGTTGTGGCTTTTGGGGCACCTTATTCTTTTTTGATCGAAGTGAACCTTGTGCATGAACAGGACTGAGTCCAGTTGTTGCTGAAACCTTTGCTCTCCATTGATTTGTGAGGGCAGCAAGAGGGGCTCCAGACCCAGAGACGGTGCGATGAGATGATGTTGCTTCGCGAGCCATGCGGCTGGCGGCAGTATCGCGCGCAAAGCGCGGTAATTCACTCCTGGTCTTTGCTGGTGTCAATGGTGTTAGAGGTATAGGTGATGAGTTTCGGATGGGCATAATATGTTGATGAGCTCTGTTGCGAAGTGAAAGCTGTTTAGGCGGACCACGGCCAATTGGCTCTTTGACAAACTTTTGCTCTGCATCTCGTGAGGTAGGTAGATCGTCAAAAGCATCAAGTTCACAGCCATCACCAAAATGTCTTCGTCGAACGGGTTTTGTGATTTGTCGCTTCATGGTAGCTTCACGAGCAAGCATATCGGCGCCCCGAAGAGATCTGCGCGGACTGGGCGATCGAAATGTTTGCCTTGAAAGCGTTCTCGATGGTGGACGAAAATCGGCGCTATTGGTTGAGGACTCAGAGTCGTTACGGCGAAGATGCCGGGATGTTTTTGCAGTGACATGATGCGATTGAGAACTGGAAGCACCACCAGCAGGTAAGAATGGAACATGACTTTTTCTAACAAAGGACATGCTAGACTCAGCTCCGGATCGATCTTTTTCGACAGGTTCCTTGGACCGAGACATTGAGAGTGGCCTATTATTGATCTCCGTCCGAGACTGAGGTCTCTCATACCGTGTAGGCATTGGCTTAGCTGGCGAAGGCTGGTAAGTCTTCATGGTTGGCATTGACCGCTTGAGCTTCAATAGTTGGGAACTGGTCGTTGTCGGCTCATTGCGCAGAGTTGATGTGGATAACTTTGCGCCTAGTTCACGACGCCGAGGAGTTGATGGGGGTATTGGATTATTAGAAGATGGTGCGTTAGACAACCCAACACTATTGATTGAAGAATGGACTGAATGTCCCAACCTAGATTGCGACCTACGATTTCGACTTGGTATTGGCCCACCACTCTCCGAAACAGGTTCGAGAGATGATGGAATACGTTCATGTCCATGTGGCCTAGGGAGCCGGGAGGTGACAGGAGGCGCAGGTTTGTTTGTGAACGTTAATGAAACCGATGGCTTGGGCCGAGTTGGGCTTTGTTGTTTAGTAGGGTTAACCTTTACGTTACGATTTAATGTGAGTTTCTTCGAATCGAAAACATCTCCATCACCAATCTCAAGTCCAGTCAAGAAGTCATCCTTTCCACCCAAACTTTTTCTTGGTTGCTTCACCTCTACTGGACGTTCGGGCCAATCATTGAGTTGACGCCTCTTGAGAATATCCTCGAAATTGAGAGGGCCACTCGGTAACACTAAACCTTCAAGACCTTCATCTTCACTCTCAGCAGTCATGGAACTGGCAATACTGGGGCTCATAGCAAAGGAATCTGAGTTCCTATTGGATCGACCATCTCTTTTCGTTCCACCAAATCGAGTACCTAAACTGCCTTCACCCCAGTCGTCAAAATCGTCCTGGATACTCTGGGGGGTCTTCGGGATATCTTTACGAGTAGTGAGCTTCAAAGCTCCATCTGAAGGAAGTTGTAGATCTTGTTCGAAATCTTCTTCGGTTTCCTTACATTTTTCTGGCTTCGTTGATGTGACGGAAGGTGCCATA